ACGGGAAGATGGAATGAGGGCGACGGGAAGATGGAATGAGGGCGACGGGAAGATGGAATGAGGGCGACGGGAAGATGGAATGAGGGCGACGGGAAGATGGAATGAGGGCGACGGGAAGATGGAATGAGGGCGACGGGAAGATGGAATGAGGGCGACGTGAAGATGGAATGAGGGCGACGGGAAGATGGAATGAGGGCGACGGGAAGATGGAATGTGGGCGACGGGAAGATGGAATGAGGGCGACGGGAAGATGGAATGAGGGCGACGGGAAGATGGAATGAGGGCGACGTGAAGATGGAATGAGGGCGACGGGAAGATGGAATGAGGGCGACGGGAAGATGGAATGAGGGCGACGGGAAGATGGAATGAGGGCGACGGGAAGATGGAATGAGGGCGACGGGAAGATGGAATGAGGGCGACGGGAAGATGGAATGAGGGCGACGGGAAGATGGAATGAGGGCGACGGGAAGATGGAATGAGGGCGACGTGAAGATGGAATGAGGGCGACGGGAAGATGGAATGAGGGCGACGGGAAGATGGAATGAGGGCGACGGGAAGATGGAATGAGGGCGACGGGAAGATGGAATGAGGGCGACGGGAAGATGGAATGAGGGCGACGGGAAGATGGAATGAGGGCGACGGGAAGATGGAATGAGGGCGACGGGAAGATGGAATGAGGGCGACGGGAAGATGGAATGAGGGCGACGGGAAGATGGAATGAGGGCGACGGGAAGATGGAATGAGGGCGACGGGAAGATGGAATGAGGGCGACGTGAAGATGGAATGAGGGCGACGGGAAGATGGAATGAGGGCGACGGGAAGATGGAATGAGGGCGACGGGAAGATGGAATGAGGGCGACGGGAAGATGGAATGAGGGCGACGGGAAGATGGAATGTGGGCGACGGGAAGATGGAATGAGGGCGACGGGAAGATGGAATGAGGGCGACGGGAAGATGGAATGAGGGCGACGGGAAGATGGAATGAGGGCGACGGGAAGATGGAATGAGGGCGACGGGAAGATGGAATGTGGGCGACGGGAAGATGGAATGAGGGCGACGGGAAGATGGAATGTGGGCGACGGGAAGATGGAATGAGGGCGACGGGAAGATGGAATGAGGGCGACGGGAAGATGGAATGAGGGCGACGGGAAGATGGAATGAGGGCGACGGGAAGATGGAATGAGGGCGACGAGAAGATGGAATGAGGGCGACGGGAAGATGGAATGAGGGCGACGGGAAGATGGAATGAGGGCGACGGGAAGATGGAATGAGGGCGACGGGAAGATGGAATGAGGGCGACGGGAAGATGGAATGAGGGCGACGGGAAGCTTCTCACCATGCGATATGTGAAAGGCAGGCGCGACCAAATGGCGGGGAGGGGATTTCCCGGGCAGGGCGGGAGGCAAGATGCTGAGGCTGTCTCTAGCGCGTTTGTTTCTAATCGGCTCCGACGCGCGGCGTAAGATGGCTACGCATTGCAGACGATGGATACGTCCGCCCTGTGACCTATGGGAAGCGAGCGTGGTCGAGTGTTTGTGTATTAGCCTATACTTTTAGACTCTCTGAATAAATCGCCAGTTCAGGCCTCGATGTGTCTCGCTAACTCACGCCCGCACTGGCATTTAGTAACAGCCTCCTCTATCCTCACCCTAAGCATCGCACTTTGCTGGTCCAGTCCACACGGACATTCGCTCCCTACGGCTATTCCGCGTATTTCTAGAATCTAAGGTGGCGCCCTGCTGAAGTGGACTAAGCAACTAATATGTTTGTTCGAGTGCATGTGTGGCTGCTCAAACTGTGCACAGTTTCCCTGGCACGTTGCTTCTCAGGTTTGTCGAGTTTGGGAAGAAGGACCCTGCCTGCTTTTTACAACCAATCAGCATGTAGGGAGTTTGTGGCGAACTACTTTCAGTCGCAAAGTGTTTTTGAGGCTTCGCCTGTCACTCAACCCATCCGAACCTCCAACTGGCAGCCCGCCGAACCTAGACATACTCAGTTGACTTCCGTTGAGTAATTCAGGTCTTGGGCTTTAAAGCTCGCGGCCCAAATTGCGGGGCGCGCTGGCCAAGCTTACTAAGGTTGACGGGGGTGATGTTTTGAGTGCTGTTTGGGTTGCGAAGGGTGGTTACGAGAAGTGAGATGCAATCTGATTGGCCAGTTGTTTTTTGTCGAATGGGAGAGCAGGGAACAACAATATGTTGATTGCAATTTCAGCCATTATCTCCGATACTCAGATTTTGCCTGAGCGCGTTCTCAGGTGTAATCAACCTGAACTTTCTCAACGTTGATTGGTCGTCGCTTTTTAGTCACATTTCTCACGCTGGTTGAACTCATTAGGAAGTTACAAAAACAAAACCATCCAGTTTACCCTCCCGACTTGGATATATCTACGGAAATTAAGGTAGTAAGAGAATGAAGCCCATATAATTCACTTGGTAGTGCTCAGTAGCGCAACCGACCGCTAAACAACGCTACCGAAAGCACTAGACGACGCTACCGAGACCTATTCGGGCATAGCAGAAAAAAAATTAAACCCCTACGGAACCTGGATGCATTTTCGAGAGGGGTCAACCCTAAACACGGAAATGGGCATTGTTTTTAGGGTTGATGCCTCCCGAGTCGCATCCCTTTCCGAGGTGGGTATTATTTTTTCTGTCAAGTGGGCTGCAATATGTTTTCCAAAATATTTGGAGGCTTTCGGTGTTTAGGGTTGATCCTTCCCGGAAAACATATAGGTTCGCTACGGGCATTATATTATTTTTTTTGGAAGTGCTAGACTTCCTTTTAGGAGGGACTGTATACAAACATGAGCCAGAATAGTTTCACACTATATCGAAAAACTGTGTTTCTGTTGGTGATTACACCTGAGAACGCGCTCAGGCAAAATCTGAGTATCGGAAATAATGGCCGTTGCAATTTGGGACTCTCGAAGCAAACCCAGGTTGCTCCCAGGGGTTTGCCGTGTCAACGAAAACCCCAAGGGTCTAGCGCGAAACTGGGCGAAAGGAAACAGCCCAACTCCCAACAAGTCAACTTCTTCTCCCACCACCCAAAGGTCAACCTTACTAAGGTTGAACAATTTGGGCCGCGAGCTTTAAGATTGCAACGCGACATCTAAGAAGGCATCGAAAATATACAGCGGGTGCATTTCAAGGCTTCAAGTACAGATACAAGGAAGTTACTCGACGGAATGTTTTCAGATTAACAGCCTTTGCAGCACTTCAACGGCTCTCAAGGCAGCATCACACGCTTTTTGAAAGCAAAGCATCTCACTGTCTTTCGGCAATGGAATCTACGCCAGAGGAGTACCAAGATTTACCTATTTTAACCATAGCTCCTGAAGTCTTCGAAGTTGAAGATTTTTTAAAAACCACGATGCTGGACGACGGGAATGAAAAGCAACCAGTTTTGGGAGTTCTTCAGGGTGTTCTACCTACAAACTCAAATGATACACGCGAGAAGGTTCAAGATTTCTTTCTGCTACTGGAAGACGTCACGTCGGTTGATACGAGGCTAATTTCTAATGATTTTCAAGTTTCGGGAAGCCTTTCCCATGGCAACCTGGGTGATTTGCTCAGAGGAGAAGTACTCATGACTGTTGAAGCAAAAGCGGCAGCAGCCTTCTTCACAGCGAGGCGTCAGAAACCACACAGAAGACTTCAGACAAGGTCTCCAAGGCTAGCTTACCAGAGGAAAACTGCTGTTATTACCACTCACCGATTCCATGGCAAAACAGCGGCTGCTGTAACTACACTCAACAACCCTCAGCAAGACAAGTTCAGATGGAACCACCTTCAGTTGCAGCAAATCAGCAGAACAAGGAAGATTTTAAATAGGCGAGATAAGTGTTTTAGGTACCGTATTCTCCCGGACGTAACACCCTAGGGTATAGCTAAAAATACAGGGAAAAAATGGGGGGGGTCTCCTCGTAGGAAAAAAATACATAATACCCGGGTCTTTACATATGGCATATTTTAGTGTTAGTGTTTTTTTTAATTAGTCAATGTGGGTGTTTTGCTGGTCCTTTTAGCATCACTGTCTGAGGCGCGAATGTGAGTTTCGGCCTCGAACTTCATCGCCCTCACGAAAATGCCATGTGGCACCTCTCTTGCCACTTGCAACGGAAGATTCACCTGCACGTGGCAACAGAGAAATAGTGGGAGGGGGCAAATCTCGGCAGATTGCCTTTGAATGTACCGCGAAATTTCATTGAGGGAGAAATTCACACGATATTCTTCCGTATTGCAGCTACTCGTTAACGACTATAATAATGAATCTGTAAGAAAAGGGGGGTGTTATAGAAAATCAGCCAAAAAGGGGGGTATAGTAGAAACGAGGTCTATCATAACACCCACCCCGCACAAGCTACCCGGGGGTGTACAATTATGGGGGGGTGTTTTGTCCGGGAGTATACGGTACTTGGTTTATAAACCCCCATAGAGAATTGCGAGGGCACGGTACATTGTGCCTAAGCCCTACAAGGGCACGGCACATTGACCTAAGCCCTCCCTAATCGGTTACGACCGTGGTGTTTCGCACTGTATATTCGCTATGTATAGTGCTTTTTCACCTCAAAAAAAAAAAAAAAAAAAAAACCATCTTTCGCGCTAGAATGGTTTCAATCGTAAAACATCTGAAGTACCACTGCACCAGTAATAAAACACACTGAAGGAAACAATAATGCTGAGAACTTGTAACATACACATGCACCACTAGTTGTAACTGTTTCACAAAGCAGAGAGCACAGCAAACCGCTCTTCTCCTATCTCAACCATGGTGGTTTGATAATACTTCCTCTCCCACCAAAGCAGCCTATCCGTTGCGGGCTTTCTGTATGCACACTCATCACATGCCAGGTAGGTACCATAATCTCCTGGACAGAATGCAAAACCCCTCCGCGCAAGGGGTCCCCCGGTCCCCTAGTCCTCATTTTGGAACAAGGGCCTTGATTTTGGCCTGTCCCCATAAGCACCCGCCTTGTTTCAAGAAATACAATAATTTCATCGTTTGAGGCGCTTTGGAACATACGGCCTCAGCTCAAAAGCTTGCACGCCAGAAGCTGCATTGAAAGAGCCCACTAGGACTACCTCCCTTGGTGCAGCAACAGGTGAAGCAACAGGCAGTGAAGGCACATCATGCCTCTGAGAGGGCTGTGATGGCAAGGGGTGAACTGCATGCGGCATCAGCTGAGCCATTGCTTCCCCAGACCCTGCAGGCTGCTCATCCCCGTGCTTGCTCTCCTTTGCTTCATCATCCTCCCTTCCTCCCGGCGGTCCCTCGTTCCGCTGCTCTTCCTGTAGTTTGAGCAGCTTCTCTTCCCCTCCCCTCTGCTGTCGCTCCTTCCCTCCCCTGTGCTGCCTCTCCCTTCCTCCTCGCCTCCTCTGCGCTCGTCTCTCTGCCTCAAACTCCCTCCTGCTGGCCTGCCGAGGGCCGCTCTGCCACACACGGCCAAAACTCGGAAGCCACATGGAACCCCCTGATTGGTCGATTTCACTGCGCTCACCACCTGCACTAGCAGCAGCAGCGGCACTAGCAGCAGCAGCAGCAGTGGGAGCAGCTTCAGGTGTACTTTTTAGAGAGGTAGATACAGCATCAGCATCCCCGCCCCCCATCGGTGGGCCAGCGGGGGCAAACCGCAGAGAAGCAGCGGCGGTAGCAAGAGCACTTCGAGCCGCCTGCGCAGCTTTTATTTCTGCCCGGCGCTGCTCTGCCCAGGCTGCCCCGACACGTTGCGCCCGAAACTTCCAGATTTTGGCGCTGGTGATTGGCGGGCAGAGGATGGAACAGAAGGAGTCCGGGACCAAGGAGAGGCCCTCCGGGGGTGATAAGGGGTTTAAAAGCGGTGCAGATGAGTTCGGTGGTATAATGATGGGTTTGGCGGTGGTAGTGGTCCGGATGGGAGGGTAGGGGGTGCTAGTGTGTGGGAGGGGAGTGAGGGGAGGGCAAGGGGGTTCATGCAATGGAGTTACCGGGGGGAGTGAGGGAGCAGGAAGGGATGGGGGAGATGGCAGAGCAACAGCAGCAGCAGCGGTGGCGGCAGCAGGGGGAAGCACGAATGCCCGCCAGGTCTCTTTGGTCTGCTTAATCTCTAGACCGCCATAGTTGCTCCCTCTTTGCTTCTTGGCTCGTCTCTTGGCGGCAGCACCTGCTGTAACATCCCTTGCAGCAGCCTGTGCAGCACCCCCTGCAGGCACAGTCGACCCATCGCTATTAACAGCATCCGCATAAGAAGCAGCAGAAGCAGGAGCAGACGCAGCAGCGACAGCAGAAGCAGCAAGGCGGGCGGCCAGGGCGGCAGCGCGAGCAATCGTATCAGCAGCCACGACGCCCCTGCCGCTGCAGTTTGCCGCCCAAAACGCCCTCACTGACGTCATGTGGTCCCCGCTGCTGATGTGGCGAACCCACTGCTGCCTAACACACGTACCACGGACGGGCGGGGGGAGAGAGAGAGAACCCGCATACGCGTTATAGCGAGAGCGCAGGACATCTTACTAGCGAGTGAGAGGCGGAAAATGCCGCGATGATTCTGGTGGATCGGAATAGCTGGGGAAGGTGTACTAGGAGGCAGAGGTCACAGCGGGGAGTCGGAGATGCGAAGCTGCTCACCATCCGCCGATCACGCTATCCTCTGCCACGTCAGCGTCGCAGAACCGGCACCATCGGCTCCGTTTCCGACTCTCCTCGCACGCGACACTCGCGCCGTCATCACTGCCGCTTTTGATAGCCACTCTATCGCCGGTTCCATCGTCGCCGCGCGTTCCTGACAGAGACCGCCGATCGCGGCGCTCCTCGCGGCTGTGGGCACCATTCTGCCTCTCGTCCGCGTGGCCATGCGCGGCTATCCCCGCCGCTATCTGCGCGCTTTGCTCTTGTGTGGAGGCTAGCGACCGACTGTGCGACTCCAGCCACGTCGCCAGGGCGGCCATGCGACGAAGCTCCTTGTCGAGAAGCGTCGCAAGCGCCGTCGTGTGTCGCTTGGTGTAGATGTGCGGTCGGCCCTGATCGTGCGACAGGCGGCACACGCCGCACAAGGCGAATTCCTTCATTATCAAAACGCGCCTGACTGGACCGATGTTCAGAGCAGATGTCCGCAGGAAACGTACGTTATAAAACCCATTTATTTATAAATTGTGTTGAGAGGACGTGACGGTTTGGCCGAGTGGTCTAAGGCGTTGGATTTAGGCTCCAATCTCGAAAGAGGCGTGGGTTCAAATCCCACAGCCGTCATTTTTTTTTGTCGTTTTTCCTCGTGCTCCGCATTTCCCTTTCTCCTCTCTTCTCCCTCCCTTTTCTCTGGTGTGGGCTACCTCCGTTCACTTCTGAGTCGACTCAAAAGCTACCTCCATTCGTGCCCACTCGTCGTGATCACCCGCTACGCGTCCGCCTCGTCTCCTTTTTAAGGCATCTCAAAAATCGCATACCACGCGCATCCATTCTCACTTTCAACCTCGCGTCTCTCCTCCGCGCATTGTCACCTCGCGCTAGATTTTCCTCCCTCTCCCGCTATCTCGCTCTCCCTTGCGCTTGTTCGAACTTCCGCGCCCTCCTCGTTTTTACTCCCGGTCATGGCATGGCGGTCCGAGCCGTGCATTATGGGGATTGACGAGGCGGGCCGAGGCCCCGTACTCGGTAATACCTCGCCCCGTTATCCGTCGTAGTGTGCTCCGTTTGTAACTTGTGCCCGCGCATATGCCTTGCTCCGATCGCGGAAATTCCTTTCCCCGTCCGCGGATATCCCTTGCCCCAATCGCGGAAAGGTAACCCCTTCTGTTCTTCCTCTCTCCCCGCCTCCTCGCAACAATCCCTGGCATCCCCACTCCCACACTTCCGCCCGCCCTCCCTCCCGCTCTGTATCCCCTTTCTTCCGCCTCTCCCCCATCCTTCCCCCCCTCCGCTGTGCTGTGCGCGTGCGCGTGCGCGTGCGCGTGCGCGTGCGCGTGCTGTGCTGTCAGCACGTGGCAGACATGTCAGCTCAGAAGTGCACGTGTGTTCACTTCACTGCCCCTCTCGCCTTTCCTATTCCCCCCTCTTCCCCTCCCTCCCCCGCTGCCGTGCGTGCAGGGCCCATGGTGTACGCGGCTGCATACAGTGCTGCCAGGAGCAGGTCGAATCAAAGGCCCCTCCACTCCCCTCCCCTTCAGACATGATTCTCAGGGCCCTCCACTCCCTTCCCCCCCATCATTTCGCCCCCCCCCTCTCTCCTCTTCTGTGCGTGCAGGGCCCATGGTGTACGCGGCCGCATACAGTGCTGCCAGGAGCAGGTCGACTCAAAGGCCCCTCCACTCCCCTCCCCCCATCTTCCCCTCTTTACTTCCTCTGTGCTGGGCGTGCAGGGCCCATGGTGTATGCGGTTGCTTACTGCGCTGCCAGCAGCAAGCAGCGAGTGGCAAGGATGGGCTTTGCTGGTAGGTGTTGGTGCTGCTGGGTGCTGCTGGGTGCTGCTGGGTGCTGGTAGGTGTTGGTGCTGCTGGGTGCTGCTGGGGCTGATAGGTGTTGGTGCTGCTGGGTGCTGCTGGGTGCTGATAGGTGTTGGTGCTGCTGGGTGCTGATAGGTATTGGTGCTGGGCGTGCAGGTCCCGTGGTGTATGCAGTTGCGTACTGTGCTGCCAGCAGGTTTGAGGTGCAGGTTTGAGGTGCAGGTTTGAGGTGCAGGTTTGAGGTGAAGGTTTTGTCAGACACTGCTTCTGATGCTCCCTCTCTCTCTGAACCTCTCCCCTTTCCTCCTCCCCCTCCGCGCGACACTTTAAGGCCCTCACAGAGGCGAGGCGGGAGCAGCTGTTCCGAGCCATGGGGGCGGGTGATTGCGCACCCTGCTACTTTTGAACCTTTCTGTCACTGCTGCGCCACACACCACTGCTGTTTCTGAGCCTCCATCTTCCCTCTGCCTCTTTCCCCCTTCCACGCCGCCCCTCTCTCCATTCTCCAGACTCCAAGACCCGCACAGAGGGCAGGCGGGAGCAGCTGTTGCGAGGCATGGGGGGGGGATGTTACCCTCCCTCCCACCCCACTGCCGCTGCTGAGCCTCCCTCTCCCCTCCGCCTCTTCCCCATGCCCCCTTCCTCCCTTTTCATCCCCATTACACTTCAGACTCCAAGACCCTGACAGAGGCCAGGCGGGAGCAGCTGTTTCGAGTAATGGGAGGGGCGGCAGCTGCTGTACCTAGTGGGGGGGACAATAGTGGTGAAGGGATCAGTGTGAATGGGGATGGTGGGAATGGGAATGGGAAGGGTGGGAGTAGCAGCAAAGCAGAAGGTGTCAGTGGCGCCGGCAGGGACGGTGGAGCACAGGCAGAGCAGGGGGAGCAGGCAGGCAGTGCAGCAGAGGCAGGGGTAGCGGGAGCAGTAGCGGCAACAGAGGAGGCGAGTGTGATCGGCTGGGAGGTTGACGTGATCAGCGCTGCTGCCCTCTCCGCTCAGATGCTCTCCAGGTGCGTTCAGGCGTTTTTTCAGGCGCATTTTCAAACGTATCAGCGGCAGGGGGAGCAGCAGGGGCAGCAGAGGACGTCACTGGTGCTGTTGCTCTCTCTGTCCAAATGCTCTCCAGGTAAGTTCAGGCGTTTTCTCAGGTGCTTGCACCCATGTCCTTCAGGCGAGTTTCAGGTAGATTTCCGGATCTGCTGTTCTCATGTGTTTGGGCTTGCCTTTAGCTGCTACCAAGCATGCGATTCGACTTTTGAGAATCCTCAAACACATGCAGTGCTGTCTTGGCTTTATGGCTCTCGAAAGCACTCTCATCGCACAACGCACAGCGCCATAGTCCCTTTCACCACCTGCCCCATATCCCCACCACACCATTCCCTATATTCTCATCGCATCGCATGGCATGGCATGGCATGGCATGGCATGGCATGGCATGGCAGGGAGCGCACGAGTCTGAACGCGATCGCCTTTGAGTCGACGGCAAAGCTCATTCAGCGCGTGCTGGACCAAGGAGTCAACATCGTGGAGGTGAGTCAAGGTGAGTCAAACGGAGTCAAACCGAGTCAAACGGAGTCAAAAACACTTGACAGCAAAGGTCATGAAACCTCACCTCACGGCACCATTCTTCACCCCTCCCGACCCCTACCCTCATCCCACACACAGGCCTTCATGGATAGACCTGGTCTCCCCCACACGCCCAAAAAGCCGTCATGCAGGACCGTCCTTTTCGGTCGTGCCACACAGTGCACAATTGTCTGGAGTAATGTTCCCCCAGGGTGTGAAAGAGCCTCAAGGGATTCGCATCGCAGCCAAGAGGTGACATCACCCAAGCAACGGTTCCCCCTGCATGCGCATCACTGTGGTGAAGAGGGCTGACAGCCCCATCCACTCTCATCCCCCCACCCCACCATAGGCCTTTGTGGATACTCTAGGTGACCCCCAGAAGCACCAGGAGCGCCTGCAGCACCGCTTTCCCCGCGTGCGGTTGACAAGGGGCCCTCATTCGCTTTTGAGTCGACTCAAAAGGTTGACAAGGGGCCCTCATTCGCTTTTGAGTCGACTCAAAAGGTTGACAAGGGGCCCTCATTCGCTTTTGAGTCGACTCAAAAGGTTGACAAGGGGCCCTCATTCGCTTTTGAGTCGGCTCAAAAGGTTGACAAGGGGCCCTCATTCGCTTTTGAGTCGACTCAAAAGGTTGACAAGGGGCCCTCATTCGTCCCCACGTTGGCCATTCTCCACTCCTCCCACTCCCCTCTCTCACCCCCCCATAGGCCTTCGTGGACACGCTATGCGACCCGCAGAAGCACCAGCAGTGCCTGGAGCAGCGCTTGCATCTCACACCCCCCCTCTTCCCCTCCCTCCGAAACCCCCATGCCTTTGTGAGTTTTGAGACGTCTTAAAACTTGCTCGCTTCTCACACACCCCTCTTACCCTCCCTCCGAAACCCCCATCTTTCTCATCCTCCACACAGGCCTTTGTGGACACGCTAGGCGACCCTCAGAAGCACCAGGAGCGCCTGGAGCACCGCTTCCCCCGGGTGCGGTTCACCGTGGCTAAGAAGGCTGACAGCCTGTTCCCCATCGTCAGCGCTGCCAGCATTGCGGCTAAGGTGAGAGCGGACAGGTGCTTGCATCCCTCACCAACGTAGTGCCTGCCTGCCCATGTGTCTGCTGCATTCCCCCCGCGTGCCGTTCACCATGGCTAAGAAAGCTGATAGACTCTTCCCCATCGTCAGCGCTGCTAGCATTGCCGCCAAGGTGAGACAGAGATGAGTGCCCAGCCCATGTGCCTGCATCCCTCCCCCAACTCATCTTCTCATAGCACCGATAGCCGCTTCCCCTGCGTGCCGTTCACCGTGGCAAAGAAGGCTGACAGCCTGTTTCCGATCGTCAGCGCTGCCAGCGTTGCCGCTATGGTGAGGGCACATGCGCTGCCAGCATTGCCGCTATGGTGAGGGCACATGCGCTGCCAGCATTGCCGCTATGGTGAGGGCACATGCGCTGCCAGCATTGCCGCTATGGTGAGGGCACATGCGCTGCTTGCGTACCTCCCCAATGAGGTGCCTGCCCACTTGCCTGCCCGTGTGCCTGCCCACCAGGTGACTCGCGATAGCTGCATCCAGCAGTGGGCCTCTCCTGAGGATGCATGGGTGATTCTCACGTCCCAGCAACAAAGTCAATCTGGTCAACCGAGCCAATCGAGTCAACCCTCCACCCCACCATGCCCTTGCGCCCACCAGGTGACTCGTGATCGCTGCATTCAGCAGTGGGCCTTCTCTGAAGATGCTCCGTCGGCCCGCCCCTCCCAGCTGCAAAGTCAACCCGGTCAACCCAGTCAGCCGAGTCAACGCAGTCCTCTGAGTCAGCCGGAGGCAGTGTCAGTGCCGGGGGAAGAGCAGGGCGACAGAGAAGACTGTGCAGATGGAGGGGAGGAGGCAGCTGCAATCACAGAAGCAGTAGCAGCGGTGGGAGGAGAAGTGGAAGGAGAAGAAGTCGAAGAAGCAGGAAGAGGAGAAGCAGCGGCAGGAGAAGCGTTCAATCTGAATCTGGGTTCGGGATACCCTGGAGGTGAGAGGGAGAGAGGGCGGGAGAGGAAGGGGATGCGGAAAGAATTGTGGAGGAAACTGAGTGGAAAGAGGAATGCGTAGAGGAGAGAAGGGTTGGAAAGGGAGGTGATGTGGATTGCTGGATAAGCCACCTTGTTTCTCCACACAACCTCTCTTTATCCCTCCCCTTCGCCTTGTGCGCCCGCCCCTTTCCCTCCTCCCTCTTTCCCATCGCCCCCCTCACCCTTCCGACCCGGCTCTTCCACCTTCTCCGTCTTCCCTTTTGTTTCCTGCTCTTCCCCCTCCCCCCCCCCTCCTCCGCCGCCCCCCCCTCTACTCCCCCCAGACCCCGCCACCAAGGCGTGGCTGGCGGGCAGTGTGGACGAGGTGTTTGGCTTCCCCTCCCTCGTGCGCTTCAGCTGGGCCACTGCCAAAACTATCATGGACTCCTCTTGCGTGCCTGTGCACTGGTACGCACGCAAGCAAATATGTTACGCTGCATAACAAAGTCTTTGGTCGAAAACGTTTGGCTAGAAGCTAGTTTTTGGTGCTGAATTTTCTGTGCTTTCTTTTCATTGCAGGGAGGCGGATGAAGCTGAGGCGGAGGGGCAGGCGTGGGCGGTCAAGCAATCGAGCCCCGCAGCTTCTGTCCCTGACTCTGCTCCTTCCAAGCGCAAACGGAAGAATGTGCGTATTGAGTCTGTGGCACAGAAACGTCACTCGTTCTTCCGGGCTCGCAAACTGCAGCTGGTCACAACCAGCTTGTAGAATGTTGCATTAAGAAATAAGAGTATTCAGGTGATATTGTAAAAGTATTGATAGTAACATAAATTCGAGCCGTAACACGTATCTAGAATCGTCGGCCACGTTTCTCGCTTCCGAGTGGCCGCCGCGAGGGGCCCAAGATCACCAAGTGACAAGTCAGGACGCGGCACCTCCAGCACCGAACCTGCGATCGATCCTGCGCAGGATCGAATGTTTTAGGGGTTTTTTTAAATGGTTTCAAAAGCTTGAAAGGCTTTCAGCAGGATTTCAGTACGGTTGAATCAGCAATCCTGCGATCGATCGTGCAAAATTGCTTGAGGTGCCGCGTCCTCAGGTTGAACTTCTGATGCACCAGCTCTCACACGCCATTGGTTGAATAGAAAAGGCGGACAGCCCCCCAACGAAGGCTCGCGCCCAGCCGCAACAACCCCAACCACTTGGGTTTCCGCCTGAGCGCCTTCTCCTTGCTCTTTTCCGTACAACTGGTGAACTTTCCGCAAAGGTTGCGCTCCGCTCATGACCGACGCGCGCTACACCCTGTACCTAGCGCCCTGCGCTTTGCGCCCCCTCGATCAGCTCAAGGTCAGCCCCCACCGACTGCGCCCGCGACCCCATCAGAAAAAGAACCTCGAGACGAGACCAGTTTGGCCCAAATCGGGCTCAGAGGTTTCCAGTACGTCCTGAAACGTTTCGGCTCGGTTCAATCCATCAAGGTGGGTGGTGTTCGTTCCTGTCCATTCACTTGCGTTGATTGATTTGACCGTTGAGCGTCGCAGCTGGGTTTCTTTCTTCAAGCTCAAGAATAGCCGCAATTCCCTGAGCACTGCTCACTTCCCTAGGTTACGCTCTTGATATGAGTGTGGCCATCACCAACAGTCGCTCGGGCCCATCACCTCAGGTCATTTCGAGCCGTAGGTGGAAGGATTACTGTCCGGACTTTTTTGCGAAAGGGATTGAGGATAGCGATAGAATTGACCGCGCGGCCGTTTTGAGGGTACACATGGACACGCTAACAGATGACGTGGCAGTAGTGAAGGTTGCAGAGTTTCAATCTGTAGGATCTACAGGCTACCCGCTGCATGACGTGGATGAGGACGATTCAGAGGACTTTGACACGTCAGTGTCGTCAAGCGACTCGGCCGAGTCGTCTCCCCGGCCTTCCTGGAAAATTGCAGCAGCTATGGATCCACGTCAGCTTGACTGGGTACACCTCGCGAGCCGCTTAAAGTCGTCTGCTCTTGGCGTGCGCCACCAGAAAAACACCTCAGCAGGTTGTTTCCAGACGATCGCGGGCTCCTCGCTGGAGGACGAGGAGCGCGTCGCTGACGGGTGCTCGGGCGACAAAAGTATAGAGCGGTCCGAGGATTGGAGCGACGGTTCGATTGTTACAGGAGGAGGCGACTACGAGCGGGATGATTCTTCTAGTGGACGGGAGAGTGAGAGGTTTGAGGAACGGTGCGAGGCGGTGACGGCGAACGTGCGGGAAGTGGTTACACGCGAGCAGGCGGGGAAGGATTGGCGGTCGGAGCAATCGTGGGACGCGAGTAGCGTGGGGTTGTGGGACGAGCGCGGCGACGGCGAGTCGGACGCGGCGGAGTCGGTACGGAGCATCTTCAGCTGGCCGGTCGTTTCGAGCTCCGAAAGCGAGGCGGAAGGCACGGAGATGGTCGACATGGCGCGGGCGGTGCGGGTGGCGGAGATGGTGGGGAAGGCGGAGACGGCGGAAACGGCGGAGTCGGCGGAGACTTCAGAGACGGCGGAGATTTCGGAGACGGCGGAGATTTCGGAGACGGCGGAGATGACGGAGACGGCAGAGGCGGCGGAGATGGCGGGGACGGTGGGGATTGTCAAGATTGACAGCGAGTTACAAGTGCGTGTAGTTAAGGGGCTTAGGCGGGAGGAGGAGCGGTGCGGACTGGAGCTGCTAGGCGCCGTGGTTGCGAGGAGTAATTTAGAGCCGTTTCGAAATAAACTGTTAGGTGGCGTAGTAGCGAGGAGGAGTAGGCGGAAGAGGCGCGCAGCGGTGAGTGCGGCGCGCATAGCGGGAATTGAAGACGACAGTAGCGAGTCCGAAGCGGAGGGGATCGAAGGGCGGGAGATGCAAGTGTTCCGCGTAGCGGTTGTACCGCCGGAAGATGAGGGCGCGCACGGCGGAATTAAGGGGGCAGTGAGTGGGGGCGGGGCTTGCTCGAATCAGACCAATAGGCTTCGGGACGGAGTTAGCGAAACGGTTGGGATGCTGGGTGGAAGCGTGGAGGAGGAACCGGCGATGTGCCTTGCGCGAGCGGCAGCAGGTATCGCGGCGCTGGGAGGCGAAAAAGCGGGTTTGGCGGAAGAGTGTCTTCCCGCCGACGCTGCCAGCAGCCCCTGTCGCGTCGCGGCTAGAGATCCTTCTCCTCCCACGGGTTCGCGCTGCGACGGTGGGCCCGATATAAGCACGAGCCGGGCAGTGCTGCCGCGCGGGGAAGGGGACAGCGGGCCAGCGCGCAAAGAGGCTGGCGCACGCGAGTCCGCGGTGCGCGGAGCTCTGAGAGGGGCTTTCGCGGCGGTGCTGCCGGGCATGCGCGCGGTCACCTCCGCCCTCCAATCCGCCGTGGTGAGCCCTTTACGTAGTCCGGTTCGTCGGTTATTTCCTTTCGTCACTCCCCTTTCTCCATTAAGCGCACCGTCTCTTTGCCTTATGCGCGTTCCTTTTCTTCATTGCGTTGCTGAGATGTAAATTATATGGCGCCGTTTGTCCTCCCCGTGCCTCCCGCCGCAGTCCACGGTCGGGGAGATCTGCTACCACGAGCTTCAAAGCGCGTCCGCCGCGCCGCCGGACCGCGCGCAGCTGCTCGCCGCGCTGGCGCGGGCGCAGGGGCTGGCGGAGGGGCAGCAGTGTCTGGCGCCTTGGGATCCGGACGCGGTGGTGGCGGTGCCCCTCGGAACTGCCGCGCAGGTGAAATCCGCGCTGCAGGCCTCGCGGGAGCTGCTGCGCGCGGAAGAGCTCGCGCTTCCGGGGGAGACGGGGGAAGACGCGGAGGCGGAAATGCAGGCGGATGGGGAAGACGCTTGTCGAGGGGAGGACGGGCAGGAGGGAATGGGGGAAGTGAGCGAGGGCGGCGGAAGCGGAGTAAGCGAGGAAAGCGGGGGAAGCGGGGGGAGCGGAGGAAGCGGGGGAACCGGGGGAGGCGGCGGAAGCGGGGGAAGCGGCGCGCTGCCCATGGTGCTGGCGCGCACGCTGCAAGCCCTGGACGTGTTCGAGGATGTGCCCCTGCGGGACGATGAGGAGGGCGCGGGGGGCGGAGGCGGGGGCGCGCGGGTGTTCGTCCCCATGCGCCAGCTGGCGGCGGGGCTGGCGACCGTGGGGGGAAACCTAGGCGGAAGCATGGGGGGGAATCTGGGGGCCATGGGGAGAGTGGGGAGCGGAAATGGCCGGGGGAGCGTGAGGGGGAGTGATGGGGAGGGGGAGGGGCAGGATGGGGTGGTGGGGGCGGGGCATGGGCGTGGGGAAGCAGGAAATGGGTATGAGGCGATGGGGTATGGGGGGGGTGCGTTTTTGGATGACTTGAGGTATGCTGGTGGGGGAGTTTATGGCGATGGAGAGTGCATGGGTGGTGAGATCATTGAAGGTACAGGCCGCTTTGATGCTGTGGAGTGCGTAGAAGAGTGTGGGTGCATGGAGGAGTGTGGATACGTGGAGGAGAGCGAAGCAAGTGGGCAGGAGGATACAGGCTATGGGGAAAATGACTCGGTCAGTGGCGAGCGCGTTGGGAGGATCAGGAGGAGCAGGGAGAGAAGCGGGCGGCTGAGGGGGGATGGAATGACGATGGTAGAGAATGACAGGGCGATGGAGGGGGAAGAGGAGGAGGAGGACGGTGAGGGGACGCAGGTGGGGAAGCATGGGGGTGGTGAGGGTGAGGATGAGGGAGAGGAGGATGAGCTGTGGAAGCTGCGTGCCTCCCTGCACCGGGCGTCACAGCGAGCACTGCTCTCCCCACACGCCATGCTGTGCCCCCGCCACCACACTCGCATGCTCTCTGCTCCGCACTTGCACTCCTCCCCCCACTTGCACCCCTCTTCCCCCTCCATCGACCCCTCCCCTCATGCTGCCCTTTTCCGCTCACACACAGACTGGCCGTGCTACCGCGACCCCTCCCCCCTCTCCGCGCCCTCCCCCTTCTCCGCGCCCGCGCTCTCCCCCTTCTCCGCGCCTTCTGCCCTTTCCGCGCCCTACCCTACCCGTGAGGGCGGGGACAGCACTGCTGCCACAGCAGCTGCTGTAGCGGCTGCGTGGTGGCGGGAGGAGTGGGAGGGGAGTGGGGTGCAGGAGGCAGGAGGGAGGAAGGAGTGGGAGGGGAGTGGGGTGCAAGAGGCAGGAGGGAAGGAGGAGTGGGAGGGGAGTGGAGGGCGGGAGGTAGGGGGAAGAGGCGAGTGGGAACGGAGTGGGGCGGGGGAGGCAGGAGGAAGCAGGGAGTGGGAGGGGTGGGAGAGGAGTGCGAGCTTCCCTCTCTCGAGCTGGGACCGGGGCCAGTGGATGGACGATCGGTGGGAACAGCCTGTTTTTGCCCCTGATGTGGCGGTTGATGGAGTAACCAGGCTGGGAAGAGCGCTGGTGTGCAGTGGCGGTGGTGAGATGGGGGGAGTGCAGGGGCGAGTGGGTGCAATGCGGAAACAGATGGGTAAGGCGAGACGTAGAGCGGTGGAGAAGGATGGCGGGGAGGTAGGGGAAGTTGAAGTGGAGGGGAGGGAAAGGAAGGAGAGAAGGCGGGCAGTGGAAGGACGGAAGGATGGGGAAGGGAGGGAGGTGTGTGATTCGAGAGTGGCGGAAGCAGGTAGGGTGCAGAGGGTGCAGAGGAGAAAGGTGAAGAAGGCAGTGAAAGGAGCAGAGAAGGGAGATGGGAGCAGGGAAGGTGCTTCTTTCGAGAAGCAGAAGAAGAGTGCGAGGAAGGCTGGTTGCGCAGGCGGCGGGGAGATGGGGATGGAAGGGTGTGAGCCACGGGCTAAGGTTCCTGTGAGGGGCAAGGCGAGGCGGGCGAGGGGAGAAAGTGGGGGTGCTGGCGGATGTAGCAGTGTGGCAGGTGCGAGCGGGGAGGAGGGGGTGGAGATGGCAGGGTGTGGGCCAGGGGTCAAGGTACCTGTGAGGACCAAGGCGAGGCGAAAAGGGGCAGAAGGCGGGGGAGGAGCTGGCAACGTGGCAGGTGCTAAGGATGCTTGGGGGGAAGGGCTGGTGCCGGGTAGAGTGCGGAGCAAAGGGAGTGGACAGGGAAAGGTGAAGTGGTGTGGGGGTGTGGAGAGTGGTGTGGTGGAGGAGGGGTCAGAGAAGGTGGGCGATGTGAAGATGAGGACAGCAACAGGAGGAGTGAGTGCTCCAGACAAGGTACGCCGAGCCCGCAAGCCAGCTAGGGGCGGCACGGCGCTCACCGCTCTGCGCACAAGCGGTGACGACCTCGGCTTGTACTCGCACTCGTCCTCATCTGCTTCCCCAGCAGCAGGCGAGCCAAAGGGGTGTTGGGTGGAATCAGCAGCAGGGGGGCTCAAAACGGGCTGTCTGGATCCAACGCGAGGCCGCCAGCCGAATCAGCCTGTTATTTCGACATCTTCCCTCGCGCCGTCCTCCCCACTCGTTCTCTTCGCCTCCACCCCCGTCTCTCCCCCTGAAGCCTCTCCGTCCGTCTCAGTGCTCCGCTCTTTCTTTGAGTCTGCTAAAAACCCCCCACTCTTCCGCCCCACCTCCGCCTCCATCGCACTCCCCAAGGCCTCTCCCTCCGTCTCGGTACCCAGCTCTGCCACTTCTGCTGCTGAGATGACTGCTGCTGCCTCTCGGGACTCCAAGCCTGCTGCTCCCTGCATCACCGCTGTACCAGCTACCCCCCCACTCTTTCACCCCGCCTCCACCTCCCTCTCACTCCCCCAGGCATGCCCCTCCGTTTCGGTACTCAGCTCTGCCACTTCTGCTGCTGGAATGGCCGCGGTCCCTCGACAATCCAAGCCTGCTGCTCCCTGTGTCACCCCTGCACCAGCTGCCCTCCGCGCAGTGTCCCGGTGTGAGGAGGAGCGGGGTGTGAGTGTGGGTGCAGTGGAGGTGGAGGGTGACGTTGCTGCTGGCTCGTCGTGGCAGATGGGGCCTGACTGGGCTGATGGCACTCCCGCTGGGCCGTGCAGTGCTTGCAGCAGCAGCTGCGCCAGTAGCAGCATCAGCAGCACGAGCAGGAGTGTCAGTAGTACGAGCAGGAGTGTCAGCAGCAGCGTCCGCAGCTGTATTGGCCATGTGCCAGTCTTTGCACGCTTCTCTCTGCCATCCATGCTCTCACACGCCTGGGCCGCCATGCGTGCTGCCACCACGCATGTCTGTGCCATGCTCGCCCATCTCTCACGCTACATGCCATGGGGCTAGGTGTGCTGTGGATTGCACAACCCATGGGATTGACCACTGACAATGACATGACACTGTGAGTGACCAACACCACATGACAACAGCACCAACAGCGTCAGAAGCGGTATCGGCCATGTGCCACGCTTTGCCCGCTTCCCTCTGCCAGCAGTGCTCTCACACGCCTGGGCGGCCGTGCATGCTGCCACGACGCATGTCTGCGCCCTGCTCGCCCATCTCTCACACCACATGCCATGGAGCTAGCTGCTCTGTGGGTTGCACATTCCATGGGACTGACCACTGACAAGGACATGACACAGTGAGACCAACATCACATGACATTACCAGCAGCAGCAGCAGCAGCAGCAGCAGCGGCGGCGGCGGCGGCGGCGGCGGCGGCGGCGGCGGCGGCGGCAGCAGCAGCATTCGGCACTTGCCAAGCTACACACGCTTCTCTGACAACGGTGCTCTCACACGCCAGGGTGGCCATGCATGCTGCCACCACACATGCCCGTGGTTTGCTTGCCCACATCTCGCGCTCCTTGCTCCGTCATGCCTGCAGTGGTGTGCTGCACATTCCGTGCACGTAGCTGCTGTGGTGTGCGTTGTTCAGATGTCTCAAAAGCACATGCCGTTGGGGTAGCTGCTGTCGATCGCTCTCCATGAGACTGACCACTGAAATGACGCTCAGAGACCAGGACCACTTGACATTACATGAGATGTAACAGATTATGTGCTTGTCTCCTTTTTGCGTTTATGTATGCAGAACATTCCGGGTGCTTTGAACACACCGGTAATTTTTATCATGTGTTTGTTTTCTCAAGTTGTAATCTATGCATTTCCGTGATTCTAACATGACTAATTTACAATTCCAGCAGACAAGTCGAGCAAAACTCGGTGACGAAGCACAACGTTGCGTTCGGGTCGGGGAGCCGCCACCGCATGTCCTTAGCTTACCTCCACGAGGCGCGCTGTTCTGCGAGAGCAGCCAGCGGCGCTGCGTCCAAGCATACTTGTTATTTGAACGGCTGGTATTATTGTGTAAATTGAGTTCACATGTTTTCTCGAATGCCACGTTTGAAGCGTACATCTTCCCCAGCAAGAAGCCGACCGAAACGCGTACAATAGTGCAGCACACTGCTCGGGAATTCCGAAGGGCTCACCTCGCCTGTATCGCGCACCCTCCCTTACCGCACCTTGCGCACCCATCCATCACCGCGGCAACCCTACGTCCCTGCATGTACCCGCAGCCGCATGTCCCTAGTTTGCCTCCACCTGCGAGCATCCAGCGCCGCGGCGCAGCGACGGTCTCCATGCGCGCTCGCACGAGGCTGCGCCACGCGGGCGATATGAACGACGCGACGCTCGGCATGATGAACCGCGACGCCGCGCGCTTCACCTGCAGCCCTCCTCCTCTCGGCTCCTCTCCTCCCTTCTCCTGTTTCTCCTCACGCATCTATTTGCCCAGTGGTTAATTCTTCCTTCGCCATACCTCGCTGCTCTCTCTCTCCGTCCGTCTCCGTCTCTCGCACGCGCTGCTCTGCTCTTCTCTCAGCCGTTCGTCTGTAAGCTCTGCTCCTTCACTCGCCCGTGAACGTACTAGTCGGCAGCCATGGCGTGGCGCGTGATCGCGTGCGTCGCCGTCGTGTGCGCGCTGCTGTCGCTCGGCGCGCACGCGTCCGAGGCGGAGTTCCTGCCGCCCGCGCCGGAAGATGTGATTAAAACGGAGGGCGGCTCGCTGTCCGTGTGGAGCCGCGAGTTCGAGTTCTTCAAGGTGCGCCCCGCCGTGATTTGCTTGTCAGTACTACCGACGTGTCGCTTCGTTGTTTCGCTAATTCGTTAGTTCGTAGTCTCGCAATCCTGCTCAGCGGGATAATCCGCTGTCGCACTGTCCCGCTGTGCTCCCGGCTCTCTCCCTCCCGCCAACATGAATGCAGCGCGAATGGAGGTGGCGGCCTTTTCTCTCGCCCTGCCGGAATACAACGACGCCCCGCAGCTCTCCTTCATCACGCACGGATGCGCCTTCATGGGCCTGCTCTCGCCCATGGGCGTCCCCGCCCCGATCAGGTGCGCAAGTGCACTGCAGGTAGCCGCAAGCCCAGTGTGTGTGCAGTGCAGTGCACGCACCGTGTGTTGTCTGCTTCTGCTGCTTGGCCCTGAGGCAGCAATGACGCCCCGCAGCTCTCCTGCATCACGCACGGCTGTGCCTTCATGGGTTTGCTCTCGCCCATGGGCGTTCCTGCTCGTCTTGAGGCGAATATATTCCCGCTTTTTCTCCCTGGCACCACCATCTTCCCCACTGCTGCCTGCCTGCGCGCAGATACGTGCAGGAGGGTGACATAGTGGCCATCCCACGCGGCTGGGCGACCTGGGCGTGGAACCATGGGTCGGAGCCGCTCAGGGCGCTGCTAGTGTCCGTCCGACATGCATTGACTCCCTTATTCACCTTTCCCCGGTGGTGCATGCATGTAGATACGTGCAGGAGGGCGACATAGTGGCAATCCCGCGCGGCTGGGCGACCTGGGCGTGGAACAACGGATCAGAGCCGCTCAGAGCGCTGCTGCTGTCCGCCTGACACGCCTTGACTCCCGCTATACCCTCCTCTCTCCTTCCCCGCTGCTGCATGCATGCAGATACGTGCAAGAAGGCGATATAGTGGCAATCCCGCGCGGGTGGGCGAGCTGGGCGTGGAACAACGGGTCGGAGCCCCTCAGGGCGCTGCTGCTGTCCGACACGCGCTCTGCCACGCAGGCGGGCGAGGTGCACGCGTTCACTCTCATGGGCGGCCCGCATGAGACACTGGGGGGTGTGCTGCATGGGTTCAGGTGAGCACCAACCAGTTCACGGCTTTAGGTGAGCCCCTCAGGGCGCTGCTGCTGTCCGACTCACCCTCTGCTGCGCAGGCAGGGGAGGTGCACGCGTTCACGCTCATGGGTGGCCCGCATGAGGCGCTGGGCGGCGTGCTTCATGGGTTCAGGTGAGTATTAGAGGCATGGGTTCAGGTAAGCACCACGCGCTGCTGCTGCCGGACTCACGCTCTGCTGGGGAGCCGGGCGAGGTCCACGCGTTCACTCTCATGGGCGGGTCGCATGAGACTCTGGAGTGTGTGCGGCATGGGTTTAGGTGGGTAGTAGAGTGCACGGGCTCAGGTGAGTAGTAGAGTGCACACGTTCAGGTGAGCCCCTCAGGGCGCTGCTGCTGTCCGACACGCGCTCTGCTGCGCAGGCGAGCGAGGTGCACGCGTTAACTCTTATGGGCGGCCCATATGAGTGGCTGGGCGGCGTGCTGCACAGTTTCAGGTGGGTGTTACACTGCACGGTTTCAGGTGGGAGTTACACTGCACGGTTTCAGGTGGGAGTTACACTGCACGGTTTCAGGTGGGCGTTACACTGCACGGTTTCAGGTGGGCGTTACACTGCACGGTTTCATGTGGGCGTTACACTGCACGGTTTCAGGTGGGCGTTACACTGCACGGTTTCAGGTGGGCGTTACACTGCACGGTTTCAGGTGGGCGTTACACTGCACGGTTTCAGGTGGGCGGCACAGCACGTAGTAAGAGCTTGTTGCTGTATTTGCACATCTTGCCCTACGTCCTTGATCGCCTCTCTCCTGTCTTGCTCTCACTCTTCCCCTGCTCTCTCTCCTCTTCCCCTCGCGCCTCCCCTCGCGCCCCCCTTTGCGCGCCCGTCTCTCGCCGCCCCCCTTTCATCCCTCGCAGTGCCGATCTGCTAGCAAGGGCGTGGGACGTGGAGGAGGAGGAGGCAAAGCGACTGGTGGCGGGGCAGAAGCACGTGGGCTTCATTGCCATCGGTCATGTGAGTCAACTCAAGTGTGTTTTGGGCTTTTGTGGGGTGTGGCGCTGCTGGGTTATGGGAGTGTTACAGGATGGAATGTGGAACGCATGGTGCAGGGCGCTGCGTGCAGTGTGCAGCAGCAAGGAGGCTCCATGGTTCGCCCTCTCACTGTCATGACTTTTGAGGCGCCTCACTGGTTGCCCTCTCCGGGTGGCTCCATGGTGCGCCCTCTCACTGTCATGACTTTTGAGGCGCCTCACTGGTTGCCCTCTCCGGGTGGCTCCATGGTGCGCCCTCTCACTGTCATGGCGTCCTGTCCTCTGCCCCTCCCATGGCAGCACAACGCACCACGCCTGACCGCAGAGGTGTACGCGATGGTGGAAGGGAGCGAGGAGGCGTACGGTGCAGAGGGGGAGGTGATGAATGCTGTTGACAGCATCAGCATGGAGGGCAGCAATGGCGTGAAGCACATGTGCATGGGCGACATCTCCCCCTTCACGCGCTTCAAGTGCAGCCTGGCCTGCTCGACGCCTGACGTGTCATTCTGTCCTTTCCCTCCCCTCCTCCCTCCCCCCCTCCCCCCCCCCCCCCCCCCAACAACAACGGCAGCACAACGCCCCGCGGCTGACAGCGCAGGTGCAGGTCATGCTGGAAGAGAGCGATCAGGCGTACGGTGAGGAAGAGGAGATCGTCCACAGCATCAGCATGGAGGGCAGCAACGGCGTGAAGCACATGCGCATGGGCGACATCTCCCCCTTCACGCGCTTCAAGTGCAGCCTGGCCCACGCCACACCGGATGTGTCGGTGCCCAAGGGAGGAGATATCTTCGTGGTGGATCGCTCCAAGCTGCCCGTGCTGCACCACATCGGCTTGTCTGCCTTCCTCTACCACCTCCAGGTGAGGCAATCTGTCCCTTAACAGGTGCGGCCCCCTTCACGCACTTCAAGTACAGCCTGGCCCACGCCACACCAGATGTGTCGGTGCCCAAGGGAGGGGATATCTTCGTGGTGGATCGCTCCAAGCTGCCCGTGCTGCACCACATCGGCCTCTCCGCCTTCCTGTATCACCTGCAGGTGCGCTCCCTTCTTCCTCTGCTCCTCTCCTCTCTGAATAATTGTTCCTGTGGTATACTGTATTGTCCTTCCATGCTCTCTGCCCCATCCCTCCAACCCCCCAGCCCAGTGCACTCCTCGCCCCCCATTGGTACTTCAATGCGGCCATCCTGCACGTGGTGCAGGCGGGCAGTGGCCGCATCGAGGTGGTGTATCCTGACGGCTAATGAGACGCATCATGCTTGCTTCTACTCGCCTGCTCCCCTGCTGTTCTGCCCCATCCCTGCCTCCGCTCCAGCCCAGCGCACTCCTCGCCCCCCACTGGTATCCCAACGCCGCCATCCTGCATGTGGTGCTGGCGGGCAGTGGCCGCATCGAGGTGGTGTATCCTGATGGCCGCACCGCTCTGCACCGTGACGTTCACACCGGGGATGTCATTGCTGTTCCTGCACTCTTCCCTTCTTCCATGGTACGTCCACTTTGCCTTCGCACTCTTCACCGCTCTGCACCGTGACGTTCACACCGGGGATGTCATTGCTGTTCCTGCACTCTTCCCTTCTTCCATGGTACGTCCACTTTGCCTTCGCACTCTTCACCGCTCTGCACCGTGACGTTCACACCGGGGCTGTGCTTGCGCAGCGCGCTCTCGTCCCCTCCTCCATGGTACGTCCCCTCTCCCCACTCTCTCTTCTCCCCTCGTCCTTCCCATTCATTGTCATTCATTTGCTCCCTTTATTCTTTGGTCTATTCAACCTCCTCCCTACACCCTCCCCCTTTCCCTTGTCTCATAAACCACACACAGGCGTCAGAGGAGGGTATGATGTGGATCGCCATAGCCAACCGCCCGCTCTCCCCGCCATCTTTCCTAGCAGGGGCCACATCGGTGTTCAAGGCTTCTTAAGCAAGTGCTCGTGGCCCCTATTCCTACACCCTCCCCCCTCCCCCCTCCCCACGTACCCTCACCAGGAGGCGTCAGAGGAGGGAATGATGTGGATCGCCATTGCCAACCGCCCCCTCTCCCCGCCCTCTTTCCTCGCGGAGGCCGCATCGGTGTTCAAGGGTATCTCCAAGCGCGTGCTCATGGCAGCATGTGTTGAGAAGGAGCTAGAGGAAGAACGAACTCTACATTCTTGCCCTTCCTCCTGTTCACTCTCCTCCCCAGCCTATGCCCACCTCCCTTCTACCTCCCTTGGCCCTCAACAACAGGAGGCTTCAGAAGAGGGGATGATGTGGATAGCCATCGCCAACCGTCCGCTCTCTCCCCCATCTTTCCTTGCGGGGGCCACATCAGTGTTCAAGGGCATCCCTAAGCACGTGCTCATGGCGGCATTCAACGTGGAGAAAGAGCTTGAGGATAAGTTTTACAAGGCCCGCCGCGACCCGTCCGAGATTGCCATCTTTCCGCCCACTGGGAAGACCACTGCCACTGCATAGAGTGCCCAAGCGCGTGCACATGGGGTCTTTCAATGTAACCCATCAGAAATTGCAATTTTCCCGCCGGTTGAGAAGAGTGCTGCTTAGGGTGTATGGAGCTTCAATGCTACCATTTGGTTTGGATGATAGGTGGAAGGGAGTGCTTTGATGCTGAAGCATGAAGACCGTTGTGTGTTGTTTGTAACTGTACATACATGAATTAAGCTTCACGAATCCATTTGTAGTGAGCGAATCTTGTTTGCGTCAAGGTAGCTTATACAGCGTATGGGTTTCGATCATTCCCTCGAATTCTTCCTCCTGTCCACCTCCATTCACATCAAACCAGCATTCCCCCAAATGACTTACGCCGCCCCTATGAGGGCTTGCGCGCTCTTCTCCCGCCTCCACCCGCGACCCGCCACGTGTCTATCTGCCGTTCGTCGCCACGTGAGCAGCTCGCCAATGGGGTTCGTCCCCGCCACGTGTCAATCAAAAGGCAAGTCGCTGCCTACGTTCTCTTTTTCGTAGCCGATTCTCTGACGGTGGTTTATCTGGCGGCCACTTCTCTGACGGCCGTTGTTTGACTGGTAGATTGGCAGAATAGCCGGCGATCGCAATCAGCAGCAGGCAGCCCTCTCCGCGCGTTGACAATATGATCGGTCAATGAGGGAGACAACTGCGCATCCCTCCGCCTCTCCGCCCTCCGCCGTCCGCCCTCCGCCGTCCGCCCTCCGCCGTCCGCCCTCCGCCGCATTTTCCCGATCACCCTCTTCCCCCACTCTACCAACTCCTTTCCCTTTTCTAATTCCCCCTTTCCGCCTCTTTCCGCTCCTTTTCACCCCTCTCCGCCACTTTCCTCGCCGAGTCACCTTCCTCTTCCTTGTCCCCTTCTCCCCTCACACCCCCTCTTCCCCGCTTCCGCTCCCGCGTTCCCTTCCCCTTTTTCCCTCCCCTCCCCAGTGCAGTTTGTGAAACTGCGCGGGCAGGGGCTGGCGCATCATTTATAAGGCGCTTTCCGCTCAAAACCTCCCTTCCGCCCCTCCGCGCTTTCCCCTTTCAACCTTCCCCCTCCCACCCCCCTGCAGTGCAATTCGTGGAGCTGCAGGGACAGGGGCTGGCGCAACTGGTTGAGTCGCTCGCCCTCCACCATTCCCCCGTCCCGCTTGAACCTTTCCCCATCCCCTTTCCCCCCTTCTCCCCCCCTGCAGCGCAGTTCGTGGAGCTGCAGGGGCGGGCTGGCGGGGAGAGTTGAGGCACTCCCCGTTCACAACCCAAACACTTTCCCCCACCTCCGCCCGTCCCCCTTCCCCTCCCCCCCACAGTGCAGTTCGTGGAGCTGCAGGGGCAGGGGCTGGCGGAGCGCAAGGCCGCCATCCATGATGTGCGTTGGGGGGGGGTTAAAGGGGGAAGAGTGGGGGGGGGGAGGGGGAAGAGACAGAGGGCAAGAAGCTGCAGGGGCAGGGCCTGGCGGAACACAAAGCCGCCAATAGATGTCAGGGTGGAGGAGGGGGGACGAGACATAGGAAGACGGGGAAGGAAGATAGAGAGGGGCGAGCGGATGGGGGCATAGAGGGAATGGGGAAAGGGAGGGGAATATTGAGTACTGCGAGATGCCGTGATTGTTGTTTGCACTAGAAAGCAAAGGGAATCTGCAGCCTTCAGCCCCCCCTCTCTCCCTCCTCGCCCATTTCCCTAACTCACCTCCTTCACCCGCCATTCCCTTCGCCCCTGCTTTTCCCCTTCCCCACACACCTCCCCCCCCCCCCCCCCCCCCCCCCAAGCTACAAGTGGTGCCTCTGGAGGGACCTTCACGCTACATCCGACCACGTCATTCCGCCTTCCCCTTCCCCCCACTCCGCCTTCCCCCCACTCCGCCTTCCCCCACTCCGCCTTCCCCCACTCCGCCTTCCCCCACTCCGCCTTCCCCCACTCCGCCTTCCCCACTCCGTCTTCCCCCACTCCGCCTTCCCCCACTCCCCCTCCCCCATCCCCCCCACCAGCTACGAGTGGTGCCTCTGGAGGGGCCTTCACGCTACATCCGACCACGGAGCATTCGATACAAGCAGCATGGCAAGGTGCGATGAGCATTCGATACAAGCAGCATGGCAAGGTGCGATGAGCATTCGATACAAGCAGCATGGCAAGGTGCGATGAGCATTCGATACAAGCAGCATGGCAAGGTGCGATGAGCATTCGATACAAGCAGCATGGCAAGGTGCGATGAGCATTCGATACAAGCAGCATGGCAAGGTGCGATGAGCATTCGATACAAGCAGCATGGCAAGGTGCGATGAGCATTCGATACAAGCAGCATGGCAAGGTGCGATGAGCATTCGATACAAGCAGCATGGCAAGGTGCGATGAGCATTCGATACAAGCAGCATGGCAAGGTGCGATGAGCATTCGATACAAGCAGCATGGCAAGGTGCGATGAGCATTCGATACAAGCAGCATGGCAAGGTGCGATGAGCATTCGATACAAGCAGCACGGCAAGGTGCGCTGGGCGCACATATAACATCACTTAAAGCCCATTGACTTTTAGTCCACCAGCAAACATTCTCAGCCCATTAGCAATCACTGATACCATAATAGCAGTGGCAATCCACGGAGCAAGCAGCAATGCATCCCAAATGCAGTTATTTCCCCCTCTTTGATTGACAAGCGAAGCACAGCAGTGCTTGTGAGCGATTTCTGAGAAATATCAAAAGCCGCTCATGAGGCGCCTCAAAAGTAGACTCCCAGCACAGAGGTGACTTTTGAGTCTAGACTCAAAACTCAAAAGTAGACTTCCAGCACAGCAGCGCTGCTCAAGATGTTCGGAGGTTGAGGTTCAGGTTCTTCCCCCACTGCCCTTCCTTCCCCCCGTGTTGGTTGCATCAGGACCGTCGATGGGACATGGTGCAATCGCATCCGTCCGTTGCAGTGCTGCTCTTTCACACAGAGCTGCAGCTGCTGCTCATGGTACGCGCTGCTATGAAATGACTCACGCATGCCGCACCGTACAGTGCGTCTATTCTGCTACTGTGCACCTGTCTTCTGCTCTGGACGCTCCTCCACGTGAATTCAATCACGGGCAGAATACAAGCTGCTCCTCATGGTACGCGTTGCTATGAATGAGGCATGCCACATGCCCAGGTTGTGAGCTGTAGGCGTAATTAATCTACCAAATGCCACACCGAGAGCAATCACTAACATGCCGTGAAGTGCCCAAGCCAAGCTGCTCCTCATCGCACGCGCTGCTCTGACTTAGGCACGCCACACCGTTCATGTATTCTCCCCTCTTAATCCTAGTCGCTCCTCCCTCTTTATACTCGGAGCTAACTGAGCTGAATCAGAACCATTCTTTTCCACCCCAAACCCTTCTGCCAGGTGCGGCAGTTCCGCCCCACAGTGCTCGCAGCAGCAGCAGCAGCAGAGGTGGAGGTAGAGGGGAGCGAGGAGGGGCTGAAGCTGAAGCTTGAGTTCTTTCGGAGTTGATTCAGAACCACCTCTCTCTCCCCAACCCCCTCCACCCCAAACCCTTCTGCCAGGTGCGGCAGTTCCGCCCCACAGTGCTCGCAGCAGCAGCAGCGGCGGCAGCAGCAGAGGCGGACATAGAGGGGGGAGAGGAGGGGGTGAACCTGACAGGGGATCTTGAAGCTGCCTTTACCTACGAGCTGTGTGCGGGTGAGAGTGGTTGAGAGAGCGGTGAGAGTGGGTGAGAGTGGGTGAGAGTGGGTGAGAGTGAGTGGGAATGGGTGTTAATGGGTGAGCATGGTAGAGCGGGTGAGGTCAGAAAAACTGGATGTGGGCGTATGATGACTGTTCTGTGTGCTGCCTGCATTCAAAACCATCTGCCTTAGAACCATCTGCCTTAGAACCATCTGCCTTACTGCTATGTGGACTCTCTGCCATCATATGCTGCTCTCTCCTCCCCCCACATTACTCCCCACTGCTCTCCCCGCTGCTCCCCCGACCACAGTCCCGCTGCTCACCCCCTTTCCCCCCGCCACTCCCCCCGTGCAGGCCTGGTGGACAAGGCAGGCAAGGACCTGAGGCAGATCGCCAAGGTGAGGAGAACGGGGTGGGGGAGGAGGGGGAGGAGGGGGAGGAGGGGGTGGGAGAATGTGCTAGCACGGTGCTGGGAAGCTGAGGGAAGGGGTGATGGGGTGTGACATTGCAACGAAGGTACTGCATCTGGTGACTCTTTACACCATAACAGGTTGCACCGCACTGCACTCCACCTCGCCCTACCCCACTCCACTCCACTCCACTCCATTCCACTCCACTCCATCTCACTCCCACTCCACCCCATCCCACCAAGAGGAGGTATTGGAGGAGACGGGATACCACGTGCCGGTGGAGGCACTGCCGCTGGTGACTCTTCACACCACACCCCATTGCACCGCACTCCACCCCGCTCCACCCCACTTCATCCCAATCCATCCCACTCCACCCCACTTCACCACACTCCACCTCACGCCCACCAGGAGGAGGTATTAGAGGAGACGGGATACGACGTGCCACTGGAGTCACTGCAGCTGGTGACGGCGGCTCTCACGTCCGTGGGCATATCTGGAGCCAGGCAAACCATGTTCTACGCAGAGGTGAGCTTTTGAGGCGCCTCAAAAGTTGTTCTATGCAGAGGTGAGCTTTTGAGGCGCCTCAAAAGTTGTTCTATGCAGAGGTGAGCTTTTGAGGCGCCTCAAAAGTTGTTCTACGCAGAGGTGAGCTGCTAAATGCTCGGCTTGAAGCCCACGTCATGATCTTTGAGCCACTGGAGGCACTACAGCTTGTGACGGCTGCACTCATGAACGTGGGCATTTCGGCCGCTCGACAGACCATGTTCTATGCAGAGGTGAGCTCTTTAAAGGCTTGAGCTCTTTAAAGGCTTGATAAATCTACACTGAACTACAGAGACACTGCAGCTGGTGACGGCTGCCCTCACAGTGTGGGCATCTCGGGGGCTCGGCAAACCTTGTTTTACGCTGAGGTGATTTGCTTAAAGCCTGGTTTCAAGCCCGGAATCAATTACCGTTTGAAATCCCAGGTCAACCTAAACCCTTAAGGTAGCTGGTCACAGCGGCTCCCACGTTCGTGGGGATCTTGGGGGCTCAACAGACCATGTTCTACACCAAGGTACGCCCGATATGCCCCGAGGAGTCAGCACCGAGGTAAGCTGTTTGAAACCTTAGTCAACTTCAGTGCTGCTCTCACGTTCATCGGCATATCAGGCCCGGCAGGCTGGCACTGGTAGACATTGTTTAACGCTGAGTCAAGCTCCCTGGTCAACCCACAGTGATCCAAATGGGCCCACGTGGATTCCCATGTATCCCCATTACTGTTCGCTCAACATATTGACCCTAGCTGGGTAGATTGCTGTTGTAGGCCTAGCTGGAGTGTACTGATGTTCTTGGTGGAAATGTGCCTGCGTGGCCTGATGGATAAGGCACCTGACTTCTAATCAGGTGATTGTGGGTTCGAGTCCCACCGTGGGTGAACTATCGTTTCACCTTTTTCTTCTCTGTTCTCCCCTTCTTCCCGCCTGCGCCCTCTCCGTTTCTCGCTGCTATGCATGCATTGATGCTTGGCGTTGATGCCTCTGCATTCATGCCTCTGCTCTGTGTGCCGTGTGGCACGTGTTGTATCCTGCCTGCTGTGGATGGCAGGTGAACGAGGCGCAGAGAACTCACGCTGGGGGAGGCAAGGAGGAGGAGGGCGAGGTGAGGTCGTTCAGTGGGAAAGGGGAGGAGGGAGAGGAGTGTCCAATGGTGGACATGCTAGGCGTTGATTGGGGCAAGGCTGTTAATCCGGGGCTGTTACTCCGGGGCTGTTACTCCGGGGCTGTTATGGCGGGGCTGTTATGGTGGGGCTGTTATGGTGGGGCTGTTATGGCGGGGCTGTTATGGTGGGGCTGTTATGGTGGGGCTGTTATGGCGGGGCTGTTATGGTGGGGCTGTTATGGCGGGGCTGTTATGGTGGGGCTGTTATGGCGGGGCTGTTATGGTGGGGCTGTTATGGCGGGGCTGTTATGGTGGGGTGAGGGGTGAGAGTGGTGGTAGACTGAACTCAGTCAAAGTGGAGTGAGGGTGGATTGGGGGTAGGTAGGCTGCAAGGGCTTTGTGCCTGCAAGCCTGCCACACCCCTGCCAACTTCCCTGTCCCCCCTCTTCCCCCTTCTCCAACTTCCCACCCTCACCCTCCCCCACAACACTCCCCCCCGACCCTTTCCCCACCTGTCCCACTCAACCCCCCCAGGCCATAGATGTGGTGGGGCAACCTGTCGCCCAGTTCCTCCCCCTCCCAACTCCCGCCTCTCCCCTGTTGCTCCCCTTTCGCACCTTCCCCACCTCCTCCCTCCCCCCCCCTTAGGCCATCGACGTGGTGGGACTGTCCCTGGCCCAGCTGGACGCCTTCATTGCTGACGTGGACCTGCCCAAGAGCCCCGGAGGGCTGTTTGGGGTCGCGTGGTTCAAAGCTACAGTGCTGCCCACGTTACAAGGCTCAAGCTGATTGGCCGCTGCTGCTGTGATATCATACGTTACGGTATGTTGTGATGGGCGACGATGACAGCTGATGTAGGGTAACAAGCTGGAGGGCTCTTTGGGGTAGTGTGGTTCAAAGCTACAGTGCTGCCCATGTTACAAGGCTTGAACTGACCGCACAACTGCTGTTATATGCAATACTGTGATGGCCGATTCCATACCGTAGATTCGTTATAACAAGCTGGGTGAGCTGTTCGGTGTCACGTGGTTCAAGGCAACAGTCCTGCCCATGCTGACTTATTGTTTGTGCCGTCATGACATGCAGTCATGCTGGTAGCCTCACCTGATGTGTAGGGTTGACACGCAATCATACATAGCTAGCATGGCAGATTTTGTGGACTCAACAGAAGTTGCACTTGGTCAATGCTGCGGTGCTACCAGCATTGAAAGGCCTAAAGCTGACTTGTGCCGCCATTACACGCAATCATGCTGGAAGCCACACCTGATGTTTAGTCATTGTAAGAAGGAAGCATGGCAGGTTGGGGTGTGGACTCAACTGCAGATGTGCTTTAGTCTACCGTAGGTATGCCAAACTACTGTTTGGCTAAGTAACCAGCAAATTATGAATGCCTACACTACATCTAGGCAAAATGAACTAGCAAAAAGTCGGAATTGACGACTGCCTAAATGGTCACCCACTTTGAGTTGAGCAACCGCTGTAGACAGTAGAACCCCTAATGCAGCAGCGATAATAAGCTGCAATGTGCAGGGCAGCGACTTCAGAAGCATGTCTCTTGCAAAAAAGCATGAATCAAACCTACGGATGTGCAAGGAGGTCACCTCCCCGTGTGTGCCATTGCACCTCCCCTCCACCTGCTCCTGCACAGCTACAGTGTCACTGCATGCTGCACTAGCCCCTCACTCCACTAGCCCTCACTGCTCCACTTGTGTGCCCCATTGCACCTTCTCTCACTGGCTCTTATGGCGCTTCATCTTGCGGTGTTTCTCAGGGCAGTCAAACGACTTGTGTCCCTCATCACCACACACAAAGCACCCCTCTGCGCCCTTCTTCCTTCCCTTACCCTTCCTTCCCCCCGCCCCCTCATGCTCTTGCTCCATTGCATCCCCACCTTCCCCCATCTCCCCCGGAACCCCATGGCCCCCGCCCCCTCCTCCTGCTCCCCCTCCTGCTCCGAACCCTGCTCCTCCCATCCTCCCTGCACCCCCTGCCCCTCCTGCCCCTCCGCCCCCCATACCCCCTCCGCCCCCCACACCCCCCCTGCTAGCCACAGCATAAGCCACCTTAACCGGCCGCCCACACGCCACCTGCTGATTCCTCCCAATAGCCCTCTCCAAGCTCTCCTCATCCTCAAAATCCACGTGCCCGTACCCCTTGTGCCGCCCGGTCTCGGGATTCCTCGCCAGGCGCACGGCGGCGATGCTACAGCCGGGGAAGAAGGCCGCTACAGCCGCCTCGTCCATGCTCCACGCCAGGTTGCCCACGTACGCGCGGAGACTGCCTGGTGCGCGCTGGGGAGGCGGCAAGTCGGATGTAGCCTTGGGGTGGGGTGCGGCGGTGGTGGTGGTGGGGGTGGGGTGAGCGGCGGAGAGGGCGGGTGGAGTGGGGGCGGAGGAGGCGGAGGGGTTGACGCGGCAGGGCTTGATGCGAAGGAAACGACCGTCCCTGGGGAAAGAGAGGGGAGAGAAGGGGGAGAAGAGAGAGAAACTCGAATTAGGCGGAGAGTGAGAAGAGAGAGAGGTGTAGGGAGGGGATGGTGATAGAGGCTGGGGTGGATAAGGGAAGGGAAGGTGTGACCGGCGTGCTCATTGTGCTGGCAGGGGAGGTGGAGGAGCAGTGGCAACGCGGTAATGGGATGCAACATGAAGAGGCGAACGGGGCACCGGAGGGGCGAGCGGGGCAGGGAAGAGGCGAGTGGGGCAGGGAAGAGCTGAGTGGGGCAGTGCAGAGGCGAGTGGGGCAGCAAGGGGCGCGGCTTACATGTCAACGCCGTCCAGCTCCAATGCCTTCCGTGCTCCGATGGCCGTCTGCAATCACATGGGCGGAAGAGGGGAAGAGGGTGAGTTGAGAGCAGCAGCACAGCCGCCAGCGAGAGGAGTGCGTGGGGAGAGAGCTTGAGGTTCAAACCGAGGTGGGCCGGAGTGGGCAAGGCCATAGGTGGGACAGGGGCAGAGAAGGGGCAAGGGGAGAGGGGGCAAGGGGGAGAGGGGGCAAGGGTAGAGGGGGGCAAGGGAAGAGGGCGCAGGGGGGAGCGGAGGCGCGGACGGGAGAAGGTAGCGTGAGCGCGCGTACCTTGAAGGTGACGAGCGCGATCCCTCGGAAGCGGCCCGAGTCGGGGAAGTGCAGGCGGTGGATGAGCGCGATGCGGCCGCACCCCTCGAAGCACTCGTGGATGGCGTCGTCTGTCGCGTAGTACGGCAGCCCGCCCACGTACACCCGCTTCTCCTCGTACTGCTCGCCCTGCCGCTGCTGCGCGCCCTGCTGCTGCTGCTGCTGCTGCTGATGATGATGATGATCTCGCTCTTGCTGCTGTTGCTGCTGTTGGGGCTGCTGCTTCTCGCGCTGTTGCTGCTCCGGAAGCACCTGCTTCATCTCTACCTCTTTACGCTCCTCTTCCTCGTCCTCTTCGCCCTCCTCTCCCTCCTCCTCCTCACCCTCCTCCTCTTCTTCACCCTCCTCCTCTTCCTCGTCCTCGTCCTCCTCTTCCTCCTCCTCTCCCTCCTCTTCCTCCTCTCCCTCCTCATCGTCATCCCCATCGTCACCACTCCCAGACGTACCGTCGCCGCCACTACCGCTCTCCTCCTCACTCTCTTCCCCACTTTCCTTATCCCCATCGCTATCACTCTCCCTCCTTCTCTTCTCCGCCCTGCCCTTTCCCCCTTTCATCCCCGCCCCACCTCCCCCCATGCCCCCTGCCCCGCACGTTCGTACCCTCCACCTTACACACCCCAACCCCCGCTCCCCGCCTTCGCAGCCCCCACTTCCGCGCTCCCCTGGGGCGCTAACCAGCGCTCCTGCCGCGAATGCGACCTTCATGCCGTGCGACGCTTCTTGCGACGCAACTATGGGTGGGCACGTGGCAGCGGGCGCAGGGCACGAGGCGGCGATGGAGCACGTGCGAGAGAACGCAGCGAGAAGGTCGCTCACTGCGCCACAGGGGGAAATTTCCGCCCCTCGCTCCTCAATTCCCGGCCTGCCTGTCGTCGCAGCCTCGTCGCCCATGGACTCTTGCTCCGCGAAGGATAGTCGCCGTCGCACCGGAGCCCAGTCGTCGTGCGCGACCGTCGCACACCAGTCGCCGTCGTTGTCCGAGTCCTCGCCGTCCGACGCCCAGCCGGAGCTTCGCACGTTCCTAATGCGACTGCGACAGGCGACGCGCGACAGGGTTCCCCCGAACGCAGAGCCTGTAGGCGCAGACGCCGCCCTCATCGTCGCAGCGAGAGGCATCTTCCACGCGTGCGACTCGTCGTCGTCGCTTCCCTCGTCTGCCTCGTGACGCGGCTCCACGAGCGCTCGGTGCGCTACAATGTCAATTGGACGAGAATCGTCTTCTTGGTCGGGCCAAGCGTTATCCAAACGGATTTGCCGCACTTCGGCCCGGCCTCCTTGCGACAGTTCCATCTCGTCGCCTGATCTATCGCAGGTGGTCGCCTCGTCGCGGAGAGCAACGCACGCGGACGCTAATCGGCTGAGCGAAAGCCTATCATTTGTGTCGCAGTGTGCAGTGTTGACGGATCGAACACCAAAAACACGACGCTGATCCTTATCTGTTGTACGGCCGGTAGCACTGGCGTCTAAACCTTGGGCCAGTGTGAGAGACCGCGACTCGGAGGGCGTGCTGCAGGCACCCAGCGTCCAATCATCGTCCTCCAGTTCGATATCTTCGCAGCTTCTCGCGAGAAGCAGCGGCGATCGCGGCGTGGTGGGCGGCGAGTTCCGGAACCGTTTATTCACCAAGATACGAGGGGGGTCTTGGCAAACGGTGTCTAGTAAAGAGATATTATTGCCGAGATAAGATGCCATTAGTTGGGAACTTACAGGAGGCGGCCATTGAACATCCGCCTCCACCATCACGTTCTCCTTCCCGTCGAATTGAGCGAGATTCTGAAAGCCCAACCCTCGGGACTCGAAGTGCATCATACTCACGATCTGCAGACTAGCAGTCAACCTCGAGGCTCTGAGAGACTAAAATGCCCACTGGTCGCAATAGCAAAACCCTATCTGATCAAAGCGGTGCGTGTTGCGCTGAATGCATACGGCTAGAAGCACAGGGGTATAACTGAGAGTTCTCGAGAAGGGGAGTTCTCGAAGAGAAGTGAGAAGTACTCAAGGAGCTCGCAGTTCGAGGAACTCTGGAGTTATTTTGAAGAGAAGAATACCCCAAAGCTCGCAAGGGGTTGCCAAGGGGATTGCGAAGAAGAAATTCTTCTTTTGGAAAAAGGCGACGCACATTTTCGAGCAACGATTGTCCGAACCGAACCAATTTTTGCAGCCTCGTTTGGGAGTTGCCGAACCTGCTCGGCAAATATTTTGATTTTGCGCAGCCAACGACAGTTGTCCCATCGCCCTTCGCAAAACCCTCCACTCCACAGCGCTGTCGTCGTTCAGCCCGCCCTTGACGAACTGCGCTGACTAGAAATTCAGGTTCGCGAGACGCACATGGTGCCGATGAAGAAATTATCACCGTCCGATCAAACGCGCAACAAGACCGAAGCAGTGAGGCAGGGATGAAAGGCGGGAGAACCTGCATCCAAATTTGCGCAGGCGCCCAGGCTGTGAAAAGGGGAGTATACACAGGCAAACTCAAGTGTACAATATTCGAGGTGTTTTTTTTTAATCAATTTCTGCTACATATATTCCTAAACACCTTGAAGGTGCCCAAACTTGTCGGCCTTCAGTTGAGCTCCCTTTTGGTCATGCAATTAAGCTGCTTGCCATCACGCCCTGAGCTCCGATGCGTTTCTGCACGAATTAAAGCCTATTTATTACCAGCACATAGTAGATATTAACAAGACATCACCGTTTTTTTTCTGCGTGTACACTTGGCTTCAAAGTTGACTGATAAGATTAATATAATATGAATACAGGGCATGAAAGGATCACTAGTAGGTAGCTGTCACTTTTCAAAGGCTGTTAAGGCTGTTACAACAACATGTGTATAGAGAATAAATGTGGTAGGGGAAGTGGATATACACTCATTGAAGCACTTTACGTTCCAATGTGGTTGCTTACTGCCTTGCTCTCATCCTTTCTCCAGACCTTTGGGGAAGGTTAGCGAGCCAGTTTTCGCTTGGGGACTTATGGCTCCTATGTGGCCGGAATGACGTGTTACGATGCCCTTCTTGTTCATATTCTTCCGGTCCAGAGTGGCTTCCTCTAAAATCGTGTCAGCGCTTTCCCGCCACGTGCGACGTACGGCTACGCGATCTCAAGCTTGAACTGACCGATCAACTCACTGCGACCCTTCGTCATCCCCAAGATAGACCCCGTCAGCTTGGCTCGTGGAATCCGAGTCTCGACCGCAACTGCAAAATACACAGCCACCCGAGCCTCCTGAGTGGTTCGGCATGACACCGCCGCTGTTTCCTCGTCCGGCTGGTCAGCCTTGCGCGCTGAGTTGAACCACCCACCTGGAAGCCTCCATCCGCCTTATCCACATTCCACAACCTCCGACCTTGGGAGTTTCCAAGTTCCAGACCAATCATCCCAGCAATCCAACAAACCCACTCTGAACTATCCTAACCAGTTTCAACCCATGCATAAATCATGATCCATAAACACCAAGCCATGATCCCAAGGTTTCTTCCACACCATTCATGCTACTTCCCTATCACCACTGCCAGCCACCTTCAGATAGAGGAATATCCAGCCAGGACAACTAATCCAACTGAATTGACCATTTCCCACTAACGGTTATTCCTGCTAGATCGCTCTGTCATTGCCGTCAGTTTTCAGAAGCAGGAAATCGTTGCTCTGCGTGACCGAAGGAGCGATCGTGGGATCAAGCGCTACCCATTACCATGCAGACCGCCACGTCACCGTCCCTTCTTCTCCCACACGCGGCGTCGACCGTTGCCTCGCCATGGACCGCGACCAGGCCAGCTGGCGCGGCTGCTGCCCAGCAATGGCCAGCTCTTAAGTGCCACGTGAACGGTCGAGATCGATCCGTGCGCGTGCAAGCGGATAAGGCGGCGCGAGGGCCGATAGGGGAGTTCGGGGAGCGCGTGATGGTGGGCGATGCGGGGGAGGAGGAGCAGGCGGGCGACGAGGAGATGGCGATCAAGCTGGAGTGCGACGAGAGCGGCTGCGTTCTCGTCGTCGGTCGCAACGTCCCGAACCTCGATGACGACTCGCAGGGTTACCTGCAATGTAACCTCACAGGTGCGTCCAAACTAACGCGACGCCCCACTTCAGCGCAAATGGTTAATTTAACAGCACTCAAGGGATGGGTGTCGAATTGCGTCAGATTGTCAGGATGTCAACGCATTTCGATGGATCGACAGCGTCATCCTTCTGTTCCACTGCCATTGGACTCGCAAGGAAAATGTTTGCACATCGAGTCAGCACTTCAGCGATGCCGCTTCCAGGTTCCAACATATCGCTGTTGCGTCCACGCACAGCAGCTCGCATAATTCCGCTCGTTAGTTACCATTCTTGTTTTTTTTTTTTTTTTTTTTTTTTTTCGAGCTCTCGCAACTCCCGCTCTGATCTCGTCGCGATCCACTCCTTTCTTAATATCCTCTTCTCTCTCTCACCCTGTCTCTCTCTCTCCCCTCAATTCCGTTATCGCGGCATTGGGTTCCAATGGCTTGCGCGGCATCACTCATCAACGCCGGTCGCGCCACGGCAGGGTGCTTCTACGACAGCGCGGCGCCGGTGGCAGAGTTCCGCGTGCTGGAGGGCGCGGGGTGGCGCCTGGGCTACGAGACGGCGCCCGCCAACGAGGAGGCCTTCTGCGCCATGGTGAGCCCCCTCGACCCCCCTCCAACCTTCCCTTCTTCCCCACAACCCCCCGCTGCGCGTGCTGGACAGCGCGGGGTGGCGGCTGGGCTACGAGACAGCGCCCGCCAACGAGGAGGCCTTCTGCGCCATGGTGAGCCCCCTGATCGCCCATGTTGCCATGCTGCCCCCGTACCCATCGCCCGCGCTGTTGAATTGCCGCCATGCAGGGCGAATTGGCGCGCTGCACGGCTTGGAGCACGGCATAGCTTGGCGCGCTGCATGTTTTGACGCGCTGCATGGATTGCCGCTTGCTTCTGTGCGCCCATGGTTCGCAGGCGTGCTGCCGGCTCATCCGCATGTGGCCGGGGTTTCTGTTTCTTTGTATAATTCACTGCTCCCCTGTGCCGCCCCCGTATGTCTCGTCCGTCGCGTCTCCCGCATGCGTGCTGACCCCCTGTCCCGCCATCCCCAACCGTGCATCCTCCCCACCCCGTGGCTTGCGGCGGCTGGCAGGTGGGCGCGGGCGGGTGGAGCGTGGCGCTGACGGCGTCGGAGTTCAACGACTTCTGCAAGCTCGTGCAGGTGGGTGCCTCGAAGCGTGGCTTAAGATTTTCGAATCGACTCAAATCGGTTCAATACACGCGGTTTTGAGTAAACTATTTCTGTTTGCAAGCTCGTGCAGCCGCGCGCCTGGAACCGTGCGCTGCGTTGCGTTCCCAGCCGCAGTCATCCATGGCCTTAGCAATTCTCCACGTCAGAACGACCCACCCGCAACCATTTTAGGGCGTGTTGCCGTCGAGTTGCCTCTCTTGTGTTTATCACCTTACCAGGCACTTCTTTAATTCATGGCTCCCGATCCACGTGCGCTCGCCCTGTCCCGTGCATGCGTGCAGATGCTGCGCAAGGGGCTGATCACGATGGACCAGGACGGCGTGCTCAACCGAGATGACATCGTGATGCAGGTGAGGTCACGTGGTCGTGTGGGCGAGCTGACTTGATCATGTGGTTGAAATGACATGGTTGAGCAAGGGGCTGATCACCATGGACCAGGACGGCGTGCTCAACCGAGATGGCATCGGCATGCAGGTGAGATGGCATGGCCATGGTCATGTGGGTGAGATGACATCGTCAGGCACGTGAGGTGACATGGTCATGTGGGTGAGATGACATCGTCAGGCACGTGAGGTGACATGGTCATATTGGTGTGATACATGGTCATGCACGTGAGGTGACATGGTCATACAGGTGTGATAGATGGCATGCACGTGAGGTGGCATGCACGTGAGGTGGCATGCTACTGCACGTGAGCTGATGGTGGGATGCATTCGCACAATGTCAAGCCAAATTATGGACAATCAATGGCCTGTTGCCGGCGATTGAATCGTTGTTCCATATCCCGGTTCCAACCCCCTCGCTCTCTCTCACTCTCTTCCTTGCTTTCTCTCTGGCGTGCTGCTGTCCCTGTTCATATCATCATGTGTGCTGATGTGCCTGACTCATGGTTGTGGTGCACTCTGGATGGTGCGTTATGGATGGTGCATGGGACGTGGGGCCATGATGCATGGTGGATGGGACGTGGGGCATGATGCATGGTGCATGGCATCAGGTGGAGCTCGGCAATCTATGGATGGAGTGTGTGGTGGCACGGCAAACATTGCCCACACTGCAGCGGTTCCTCAAGGTACGCCACACCCCACACCGCTCGCTGCTTTCATTCGCATCACAACACGATCACTGCAAGTGTGCAATGCAGAGTTTGAGTTATGTGGTGTGTGAAAACATGTGGCCTTTCAAGCCCAGCGTTGTCATCATCCCACCTAACTGTCCTGCCACAACGGCGCCCATCCCTAGCTTCACTGTCGCCTGAACAGAGAAGCGTGAGCATGTGGCGTGGATGGCTTAGCATTGCGGTGTACAGAGGCAGTGATATGCGAATTCATGAAGCGCTGGGGTGTGTGGTTTGTGTGTGTGCAGATGGGAGGGAGGCCCACTGGAGCAGCCTTTGCCATTCGCTTCATTCTCTCAGGCACCGACTCCAAACGCCAGGTAAGTTCCTTGGCCACTGTACTCGTCTCTTCCCAATGGCTACTGCAAAAAGAGACACATTGTTACTTCAACCACTACGTCTCACGTCAATATGTCCGTCCGTCCACCCCAACCTTCTCTTGCCTCTGAACTGCTCCCTCTGTGTGCTCTTCTCTGCCTGCATGTCATGCCATGCAACCCCGCCCCACCCCACCAGGCAGAGGGTTTCTGGCCAGCGGAGGCGGTGATGGACATGCTAGCCAAGATGGACGAGCTCTCATCGCCTGCACAGCCCAACTCCTCCAGCAAGCAAGCAGAAGCAGTCACCGCCTGAGCGGCGGCTAATTTGTCGACATAAATTGATTATTGCACTAGTTCTCTGAAATCAATCACCATTTATTTCGGAGATGTATGGATGTTTGTGTGCAGAATCCCACATCCAGCAGTGGGTGCTAGGAGGTCGATGTTTGTGAGCATGCCAGCTCCTGCACGCTCCCATGTAAATGGGGCTTATGCCAATAATGCTCGTGTTAGGAATTGAAAGATGTTTGCATTTGAGTCTCCATTGTCCAAGTATTGTTGAAATTATGGCAAGAGAGTTTTGCAAAAGTGAAGATAACTAAATGTGAATTGTACAGTGATGCATTTGAATAAGGATCAAGGTTTGACCGAGGCTTGAAGCGGCTGCTGATTGTGTGGAGCACAACGGCGGCCGTCAAACTGGTTGAGGTGGCGCGAAACGGTTGGTGTGACTCGACTGCCAAGTAATTTCGGGCAGCACTTTTCTTCCGAACGGCTTCCGTTACTCTCTCTTCACCCTCCGATACAAACTAGCCCATATCCTACGGCTGTCTCGATCGCCCTCACCTGCAGGAGTTTTCTAGGTTAATGCACGTGACACACGTCAGTTTGGCAAAGCGAGGCTGGCTGGGCTGGATCTGTTGGCGGGAGCAAGAAACCTCGCGCCTCGTGAACGCGGAAGGTTCTCCACCACCCCGCTACAGCACAGCTGGACTGCGCGGGCCTGATCATCTGCGGCGCAAACGGAAAACCCCAGTTTGGCGAGCGTCCGTTTGTGTCACGCTGGGCCTGGGGTTTGCCTGGCCTCGAGCTTCACTGGACCTGGGGGGTTGCCTGCGCAGCGAGCGTTGAGGTTGAGGCTTGCCCGGCATGGGGTTGCGCGATGACGAACCAGACTTGAGGGAAGCAGGTGGATGAGCGTCAAGGTAATTCCAGTCGCTAGGAGAACGCGATTGATGACGGTAGCATGACCAATCCCAACGCACAGGCAAGCAAGAAGAGTTACAGGCTTGGTCAGTCGGTGAGAGGAGGAACTGTAATCCTGCAGTGCTGGTTTGGGTTTGATTGTTTTCGAATGGGTTGAGTTAGGTTCCTTGATCACTGCCTCTAGTGATGGTAGTCCAGGTCAGATGGGCGAGGGTGGGGAAGGAACCAGTCAAGGCACGCTTGTAGACGAGACGGCTGTTGATGATTAGGGAAGCCCGACGTTCTTTTTTGAGGCACATGCCAACCTAATCTTGCTCTTTTTGTTTTTTTTCGTTCGACGAATAATAAAGCCAGCTGCTACACCTCTTATTTTTTGCCAGGGCAGCAACCGCTGGTCATAGCGTATCCTTCTTGTAGGCCGTCTCAGCAGCTTCGCATGGCAGGCCCGACAAGTGCTAGCGGGGGAGGAAACACGATTGGTCGAGGCGGGGAATTGTCGAGTCGTCGAGTGGTCGGCGTAGGTCCCACGTCGCAGCGCGAATCGCGAGGAATGGGAATGGACGGCGCTAGGGATAGTAGGGATGATCGTCGTGTGAGTGGGTGGAGGAGCAGTGAAGCGGGTCAAGCGGGGGAAGGGAGGGAAAAGAAGCGCGTGTCGCGGGTGGTGCGGACGGCGTGGGTCCAATGCGACGACGTTAAGTGCAAGAAATGGCGCCGAGTGCCGATGCAAATTGCACGAGCCATGAGCAGCAGCGAGGCGAGATGGTTAGTGAATTGGGAAATACAATTACAATGCTGGGTCAGTCGAGTAAGCCTAAGCAGCCTGAGCCATCTCATCGGAGAAATGTCCTCTCGCCAATCCCTGCCGGCCTCGTGCCGCTCGCCGCGTACTCTCGTCCCGTCCGTATCTCCCCGTGCTTCCCGCGTTAGGGTTTCGTGTTAGGCTCCACGCCTCCATGTGCTCCGCCGCAGCTCGCAGCCTCAACACTGCCTTGTCCTACGCAGCAGAGCCGTTTTCGCAGTCTTACATTTGTTATGAGAGGTTCAATCTCCTCCCTGCCATACCAAGCATTCTATCTATCATCCGTGACGTGATCACTGCGATTGATGACGTGTTATCCACAAGCCCTAAAAACGGCCGTAGTTACCCTTGCGCTCACCTATCGTCCCGTTCGTTCCGCCACTTACATTGCTCTCCGCTCTTGTCGCCCCCATTCCCCATCGTCGCTCCTCCCCGCCGGTCCCCGACATTGTCGCAGGTTTTGTCGCATGAATCCTGATCCTGCCTTCGCCAGCTGTCGCGTTCCGCAGGAAAGCGACGACGCGAACGACAACGACGATGCGGACGATGACGACGAAGCGGAACAGGACACGCGGGGGAGAGACGGCGCAGGGGGGAGTAACAGCAGGAGCGAGAGGGACGTGGGCGCGCGGAAAGAGCAGGGCGGGGGGGAAGGAAGGGGGAATGGGGAAGTAGCGGAGGGCGGCGGGGGCGGGGCGGCGGAGTGGAGCAGCGCAAGCGAGTGCAGCAGCGAGTGCAGCGACGGCGACGGCAGCGTCGCCATCCAGTTCTCCGACTCCGACGACGACCCCGACCCGGGGGACGACGACGCGCAGTGCGCGCCGTGGCGGGGCGCGGATAGCGCGCCCGAGAGGCGCGGAGGGGAGGTGCCGTGGTGGCAGTGGGGGAGCAGCGGGAACGGCCGGCTTGGGGGAGGCGCGTTAGGGCGGGGGAAGGCGGGGGCTGGGAGGGGAGGGGGGAGAGGCGCGGGAAGGGTGGGCGGAAGTTGGGGCGCGGTTATGGGGGGACTGGGGAAGCCCGCGGTGCCTCCACCTCGCCTCGTGGGTGAGTCCGCCTGTTCTTGCGCTTGCGCGTGTCATGCACCCCACGTCCGGCCCTCTTCCCATCCAACATTTCCACCCGTCTTCCCCCACCTCTTATGAGTGTTGAACGATCGCCTGACCTTTGGGCGCGTGTTTCGTTCCCACGCGTGTGTGTCGTTCCCCGTGGGCGTGGCGTGCGCAGGGTCGGGCAAGCGCGCGTGGATCCGCATCGTGGAGAACGAGTACCTGCACCGCCGCCCCAAGCTGCAGCGCACCGACGAGGTGAGCGGGGGAGCGGGCGCGCTGGCAGCGGGGGAGGGTGGAGGGTGGAGGGTGGAGGGTGGAGGGTGGAGGGTGGAGGGTGGAGGGTGGAGGGTGGAGTGTGAAGGGTGGGTGGAGGGGGAGGGGAAGGTAGGATGGAGTGGAAAATGGGCGACATTCAGTGGGGGAGAGGATGAGACAGATTGGGAAACTCGCAAGGGGGCAATGCAGGGACTCAGAAAAGCGAGGTAGGGTGAAGGAATGGAAAGAGGCACAATGGCATGTCACGGGTCCCATGACTTTCAGATTTCTCCAATCCACACGCTCTTCACTTCCCCGGCTGGCCCCTTCCCCGCCCTCCACTCAACAGGTGTTGGTGTGCCAGTGCGTGCCGCCGCCGCCCGGGCGGCGAGAGAAGGGGTGTGGGGAGGCGTGTTTGAACCGCCTGGTCAGCATCGAGTGCCAGCCCAAGCTCTGCCCCTGCGGCGCTGCCTGTGCCAACCAGCAGGTGAGCGCTCTCATGCGGTGCAGTGCGGTACAGCGTGGTGACTTTTGAGTCGACTCAGTAGACTCAAGAGAGGGGATGCGGGGAGTCGTGTTTGAACCGCCTGGTCAGCATCGAGTGCCAGCCCAAGCTCTGCCCCTGCGGCGCTGCCTGCGCCAACCAGCAGGTGAGCGCTCTCATGCGGTGCTGTGTGGTGCAGCGTGGTGACCTTTGAGTCGACTCAAAAGACTCAAGAGAGGGGATGCGGGGAGGCGTATTTGAACCGCCTGGTGCGGCACTGCCTGCGCCAACCAACAGGTCAGCGCTCTCATGCAGTGCACTTCGGTGCTCTCGCCACCACCCACACACCAGTTCCCGCCCCGTGTCCCTTGTCCCTGCCCCATGCCACTCTTCGTTGCCCCCTTCCGTCGTCTCCGTCCCTTCCCTCTCTCCCCCCTCACATTCCCCTCCCTCTCGGCGCCTCTCCCCACATTCTCCGCCCCAACAGTTCCAGCAGCGGCGGTACGTGAAGGTGGAGATAGCCCGCTACGGCCGCAAGGGATACGGCGTGCGGGCGCGGCAGGCAGTGGCAGCGGGGCAGTTCATAGTGGAGTACGTGGGGGAGGTGCTCAACCGCAAGGCGTTTGCTGTACGCCTGGAGGAGTACAGGCGCGCCAAGCAGCGCCACTACTACTTCATGACTCTCAACAACAGCGAGGTATGCTGTGCGCTCCTCAAGTCTTGTAGGTGGCTTGAGAGCTTGTAGCAACCGAGTAGAGACCCGCCAAGCAGCGCCACTACTACTTCATGACCCTCAACAACAGCGAAGTACAAAACGCGCCCCTGCGAGTTGTAGCAGGCGGTTTGTGAGAAAAATATGGAATCCGAGTGCGGGTGTGCCAAGCAGCGGCACCGGTGTTAGATGACAGTCAGCAACCGTGCGGTAGGCACCGTTGCTAGCCAAGCCTTCATTTCATGCGCCACCTCCTGCTGACATATGCCCCTCCGGCACCCCATGCACCTCCTGCTGACATATGCCCCTCCGGCACCCCATGCACCTCCTGCTGACATATGCCCCTCCGGCACCCCATGCACCTCCTGCTGACATATGCCCCTCCGGCACCCCATGCACCTCCTGCTGACATATGCCCCTCCGGCACCCCATGCACCTCCTGCTGACATATGCCCCTCCGGCACCCCATGCACCTCCTGCTGACATATGCCCCTCCGGCACCCCATGCACCTCCTGCTGACATATGCCCCTCCGGCACCCCATGCACCTCCTGCTGACATATGCCCCTCCGGCACCCCATGCACCTCCTGCTGACATATGCCCCTCCGGCACCCCATGCACCTCCTGCTGACATATGCCCCTCCGGCACCCCATGCACCTCCTGCTGACATATGCCCCTCCGGCACCCCATGCACCTCCTGCTGACATATGCCCCTCCGGCACCCCATGCACCTCCTGCTGACATATGCCCCTCCGGCACCCCATGCACCTCCTGCTGACATATGCCCCTCCGGCACCCCATGCACCTCCTGCTGACATATGCCCCTCCGGCACCCCATGCACCTCCTGCTGACATATGCCCCTCCGGCACCCCATGCACCTCCTGCTGACATATGCCCCTCCGGCACCCCATGCACCTCCTGCTGACATATGCCCCTCCGGCACCCCATGCACCTCCTGCTGACATATGCCCCTCCGGCACCCCATGCACCTCCTGCTGACATATGCCCCTCCGGCACCCCATGCACCTCCTGCTGACATATGCCCCTCCGGCACCCCATGCACCTCCTGCTGACATATGCCCCTCCGGCACCCCATGCACCTCCTGCTGACATATGCCCCTCCGGCACCCCATGCACCTCCTGCTGACATATGCCCCTCCGGCACCCCATGCACCTCCTGCTGACATATGCCCCTCCGGCACCCCATGCACCTCCTGCTGACATATGCCCCTCCGGCACCCCATGCACCTCCTGCTGACATATGCCCCTCCGGCACCCCATGCACCTCCTGCTGACATATGCCCCTCCGGCACCCCATGCACCTCCTGCTGACATATGCCCCTCCGGCACCCCATGCACCTCCTGCTGACATATGCCCCTCCGGCACCCCATGCACCTCCTGCTGACATATGCCCCTCCGGCACCCCATGCACCTCCTGCTGACATATGCCCCTCCGGCACCCCATGCACCTCCTGCTGACATATGCCCCTCCGGCACCCCATGCACCTCCTGCTGACATATGCCCCTCCGGCACCCCATGCACCTCCTGCTGACATATGCCCCTCCGGCACCCCATGCACCTCCTGCTGACATATGCCCCTCCGGCACCCCATGCACCTCCTGCTGACATATGCCCCTCCGGCACCCCATGCACCTCCTGCTGACATATGCCCCTCCGGCACCCCATGCACCTCCTGCTGACATATGCCCCTCCGGCACCCCATGCACCTCCTGCTGACATATGCCCCTCCGGCACCCCATGCACCTCCTGCTGACATATGCCCCTCCGGCACCCCATGCACCTCCTGCTGACATATGCCCCTCCGGCACCCCATGCACCTCCTGCTGACATATGCCCCTCCGGCACCCCATGCACCTCCTGCTGACATATGCCCCTCCGGCACCCCATGCACCTCCTGCTGACATATGCCCCTCCGGCACCCCATGCACCTCCTGCTGACATATGCCCCTCCGGCACCCCATGCACCTCCTGCTGACATATGCCCCTCCGGCACCCCATGCACCTCCTGCTGACATATGCCCCTCCGGCACCCCATGCACCTCCTGCTGACATATGCCCCTCCGGCACCCCATGCACCTCCTGCTGACATATGCCCCTCCGGCACCCCATGCACCTCCTGCTGACATATGCCCCTCCGGCACCCCATGCACCTCCTGCTGACATATGCCCCTCCGGCACCCCATGCACCTCCTGCTGACATATGCCCCTCCGGCACCCCATGCACCTCCTGCTGACATATGCCCCTCCGGCACCCCATGCACCTCCTGCTGACATATGCCCCTCCGGCACCCCATGCACCTCCTGCTGACATATGCCCCTCCGGCACCCCATGCACCTCCTGCTGACATATGCCCCTCCGGCACCCCATGCACCTCCTGCTGACATATGCCCCTCCGGCACCCCATGCACCTCCTGCTGACATATGCCCCTCCGGCACCCCATGCACCTCCTGCTGACATATGCCCCTCCGGCACCCCATGCACCTCCTGCTGACATATGCCCCTCCGGCACCCCATGCACCTCCTGCTGACATATGCCCCTCCGGCACCCCATGCACCTCCTGCTGACATATGCCCCTCCGGCACCCCATGCACCTCCTGCTGACATATGCCCCTCCGGCACCCCATGCACCTCCTGCTGACATATGCCCCTCCGGCACCCCATGCACCTCCTGCTGACATATGCCCCTCCGGCACCCCATGCACCTCCTGCTGACATATGCCCCTCCGGCACCCCATGCACCTCCTGCTGACATATGCCCCTCCGGCACCCCATGCACCTCCTGCTGACATATGCCCCTCCGGCACCCCATGCACCTCCTGCTGACATATGCCCCTCCGGCACCCCATGCACCTCCTGCTGACATATGCCCCTCCGGCACCCCATGCACCTCCTGCTGACATATGCCCCTCCGGCACCCCATGCACCTCCTGCTGACATATGCCCCTCCGGCACCCCATGCACCTCCTGCTGACATATGCCCCTCCGGCACCCCATGCACCTCCTGCTGACATATGCCCCTCCGGCACCCCATGCACCTCCTGCTGACATATGCCCCTCCGGCACCCCATGCACCTCCTGCTGACATATGCCCCTCCGGCACCCCATGCACCTCCTGCTGACATATGCCCCTCCGGCACCCCATGCACCTCCTGCTGACATATGCCCCTCCGGCACCCCATGCACCTCCTGCTGACATATGCCCCTCCGGCACCCCATGCACCTCCTGCTGACATATGCCCCTCCGGCACCCCATGCACCTCCTGCTGACATATGCCCCTCCGGCACCCCATGCACCTCCTGCTGACATATGCCCCTCCGGCACCCCATGCACCTCCTGCTGACATATGCCCCTCCGGCACCCCATGCACCTCCTGCTGACATATGCCCCTCCGGCACCCCATGCACCTCCTGCTGACATATGCCCCTCCGGCACCCCATGCACCTCCTGCTGACATATGCCCCTCCGGCACCCCATGCACCTCCTGCTGACATATGCCCCTCCGGCACCCCATGCACCTCCTGCTGACATATGCCCCTCCGGCACCCCATGCACCTCCTGCTGACATATGCCCCTCCGGCACCCCATGCACCTCCTGCTGACATATGCCCCTCCGGCACCCCATGCACCTCCTGCTGACATATGCCCCTCCGGCACCCCATGCACCTCCTGCTGACATATGCCCCTCCGGCACCCCATGCACCTCCTGCTGACATATGCCCCTCCGGCACCCCATGCACCTCCTGCTGACATATGCCCCTCCGGCACCCCATGCACCTCCTGCTGACATATGCCCCTCCGGCACCCCATGCACCTCCTGCTGACATATGCCCCTCCGGCACCCCATGCACCTCCTGCTGACATATGCCCCTCCGGCACCCCATGCACCTCCTGCTGACATATGCCCCTCCGGCACCCCATGCACCTCCTGCTGACATATGCCCCTCCGGCACCCCATGCACCTCCTGCTGACATATGCCCCTCCGGCACCCCATGCACCTCCTGCTGACATATGCCCCTCCGGCACCCCATGCACCTCCTGCTGACATATGCCCCTCCGGCACCCCATGCACCTCCTGCTGACATATGCCCCTCCGGCACCCCATGCACCTCCTGCTGACATATGCCCCTCCGGCACCCCATGCACCTCCTGCTGACATATGCCCCTCCGGCACCCCATGCACCTCCTGCTGACATATGCCCCTCCGGCACCCCATGCACCTCCTGCTGACATATGCCCCTCCGGCACCCCATGCACCTCCTGCTGACATATGCCCCTCCGGCACCCCATGCACCTCCTGCTGACATATGCCCCTCCGGCACCCCATGCACCTCCTGCTGACATATGCCCCTCCGGCACCCCATGCACCTCCTGCTGACATATGCCCCTCCGGCACCCCATGCACCTCCTGCTGACATATGCCCCTCCGGCACCCCATGCACCTCCTGCTGACATATGCCCCTCCGGCACCCCATGCACCTCCTGCTGACATATGCCCCTCCGGCACCCCATGCACCTCCTGCTGACATATGCCCCTCCGGCACCCCATGCACCTCCTGCTGACATATGCCCCTCCGGCACCCCATGCACCTCCTGCTGACATATGCCCCTCCGGCACCCCATGCACCTCCTGCTGACATATGCCCCTCCGGCACCCCATGCACCTCCTGCTGACATATGCCCCTCCGGCACCCCATGCACCTCCTGCTGACATATGCCCCTCCGGCACCCCATGCACCTCCTGCTGACATATGCCCCTCCGGCACCCCATGCACCTCCTGCTGACATATGCCCCTCCGGCACCCCATGCACCTCCTGCTGACATATGCCCCTCCGGCACCCCATGCACCTCCTGCTGACATATGCCCCTCCGGCACCCCATGCACCTCCTGCTGACATATGCCCCTCCGGCACCCCATGCACCTCCTGCTGACATATGCCCCTCCGGCACCCCATGC